TCAGCCCCTCTGTGACTGGGCTGGTGGGGGACAGGCCTGTCAACCTGATGCCCATGACAGCGAGCGTGACAGCAAGCAGCTCCCGTGTACCGATGCAAAACATTCACTGCACCCTCTCAGTGGCCCTAGGAGCCAATGAGCACCACAGTTACCTGCGTTCTTACAAATGGGGAAACGGAGACACAGAACTGTCAGGGGCCTTGTCAGAAGTCACAGCTGGGGCCTGGAGGAGGCGGATGGACACCCTGCGCTGCCCACAGTGGGCCTCAGCTGTTCAGGGACTCCAGCCGAGGCTTGTCCTTGATCTGGCTCACGACTTGGGTTTCTGCTGCCCATTGCCACTGAGCGAAGAAGGCTGCTGGTCACTCATGCCCCAGCCGCATGCGTGCTGCTGCTGGAGCCTGGCACTGCACCTGCTGTTTGCTGAGCAGGCACCGGGCATGGTGCTCTGCAAATGAACCCGTTTTGTTGGTCTTCACCTGGATCCTTAAAGACAGAGGCTCTAGAGGAATGTGAGACAAGGAGGTCGATGACAGCTGATCCTGCTGAGCACTGTGCTGGATGGATGCTGGGTGCTAGGTGCTAGGCGCTAGGTGCTGGGCCTTCGCTCTTTTTTTTTTTTTTTTTTTGACAGGCATAGTGGACAGTGAGAGAGAGAGAGACAGAGAGAAAGGTCTTCCTTTTGCCGTTGGTTCACCCTCCAATGGCCGCCGCGGCTGGTGCGCTGCGGCTGGCGCATCACGCTGATCCGAAACCAGGAGCCAGGTGCTTCTCCTGGTCTCCCATGCGGGTGCAGGGCCCAAGGACCTGGGCCATCCTCCACTGCACTCCCGGGCCACAGCAGAGAGCGGGCCTGGAAGAGGAGCAACCTGGACAGAATCTGGCGCCCCGACCGGGACTAGAACCCAGGGTGCCGGCGCCGCAGGCAGTGGATTAGCCTATTGAGCCACGGCACTGGCCATGGGCCTTCGCTCTTGAATCCAACCCCTAGCCCCGGGTGGGGGGCTCTCCGCCCATCCCTGGCTGGAGATGAGGAAGCTGAGGCTCAGTGGGGCAACCGGCCGCCATGTCCTTCAACTCCACACACTGTCAGGAAGCCATGAGAGAGTCTCGCTGCTCCCTTGCCCAGGGAGAGAAGGGAGGTGCCTGGGCTGTGTCTTAGGAGAAAGCTAGGGAGTGTGCGAGTGGGAGGCCAGGCTGTCCTCTGCGTCTGGGTGCTATCGGGGCCTCACCCCCTCCCTGCCTCCCTCCCAGGCTATGGAAGAAGGTGTGGGTGCCAGTGCCCAGCCCGGAGCAGTTCTTCCAGCCCCTGTACCAAGGCCACAGTGGAGACTTCAAGGTGAGCAGCCCCCCCACAAGGAGCCCCAACACCCCCCTGCCCTAGGACCCCAACTCCACCTTGTGGGCCCAGAGCATCTGGGTCCCAGCCAGGCCTCAGTTTCCCCATCTGCAAAGTGCAGACCCTAATTCCAGGGGTGCAGCATTGACATCGGACTGGGCCGGGATCCTGGAGCAGCCCCAGGCCACAGAGCCAGGCTAGGGCAGGGGTGAGCCAGGAGGTCCCTGGTCCTTGGCAAGGTGCCCTTGGCCTGGAGGGGGAGCTGTTTTCTTGGAAAAGCTCTGGCCCCGCCCACAAATAGACCACTACCCCAGCAAGCTCAACCTGGCTGCTGCCCTCCACACACACCCTGCACCCCCATTGCTCAGGTGTCACCCGCTGGGCTCCCGCACAGCGAATGTGGTAACAGGGCCGGGACAGGCAGCCCTGCCTCCCTGGGCTGAGCCTAAACATCAGACAGCGGGGACCTGGAGCAATGATTAAGCACCTTCTGTCTGCCTGGTGCTGCCTCCCAGCAGCTCCTGAAGGACTGGGACAGGAGCAGGTGCGCCATCGTCCCCAGTGTCCCCCATGCAGACAGCGGAGCTCAGGCAGGGGCAGGCACTTTAGTGGGGCTGGGAGGAGCCTGGCCCCCAACCCACACGGGACCCCCCTCGCCCTCTCCTCTTCCCCGACGTGCAGACGCCATGGCGACTCTAGGTTAATTTTACCAATGCTCAGCCACCACCTGTGCACGTGGGCAGACCACTGAGGGCTACACTTCCTGCTACCAGAGGGGAAACTGAGGCTGATGGGGTGGGGCAGCGGTGGGGACCCACTGGCCAGGGCACAGTATAGCCGACATTGCGCTCTCTGTCCTTACCCTCTCTCTCCTGGTGTCTTGGTGCCCTCTGGGTCCCTGTCTGTCCCCAGACCTCTAACTCAGCCCCGCCCCATTGCACACCTCTCTCTGTTTCTCTCTCACAGAAATGGGTGGGCACACCCTTCAGTCCCTCCAGCCTGGCTGAGGGACCCTGGGCCCCAAGGGTGAGCTCGGTCCTGGAGGTGCAGGACCACGAAGACCACTCCCTGCACAGTCCTGCCAAGGGCCCGGGACCTACGGAGCTGCCTGAGCCGGCAGGGCTGGAGACAGACGGGCCTGAGCCGGGCCCCACCATGGCCAGCAGCCTGGGCAGCTCGGCTGACAGCCAGGAGAGGGACCGGCCATACGGCGTGGTGTCCATCATAGACACGGTGACCGTGGTGGGCGCAGAGGGGCCCTGCACTTGGCTCTGCACCTGTGGGGACGACGGCTACCCAGCCCTGAACCTGGATGTCAACTTGGAGGCAGGCCTGGAGCCCGAGGACCCGCCGGTGGGCTCAGCAACTGAGGCCCTCCCTTGCCACTGGGTCTCGGCCGGTGGGCCGGGGCTGGGCGGCTCTGGGAGTGGCCTCCTCGACAGGGTCAAGCTGTCCTTTGCCGGGGAGGAGCCCTGGGCCTCCAGCCCTCCCTGGCAAGGAGGGCCGCCTGGAGGCGTCCCCCAGAGTGAGGCGGGCTCACCGCCCGCAGGCCTAGACATGGACACATTCGACAGTGGCTTTGCGGGCTCAGACTGCGGCAGCCCCGTGGAGTGCGACTTTGCCAGCCCCGTGGACGAGGGGCCTCCCAGGAGCTACCTCCGCCAGTGGGTGGCCATAGCCCCAGCACCTGCAGGCCCTGGGCCCCAGGCCAGCTAAGCGAGGCTGCGTGACCCTCTGGGGCTAGTCCCGCTGCTGGGCTGCTGGCCACAGGACAGGGATGCCCTGGACTCCGGGGCTTGGCTGTGGACTTGGCCTCTGCCTGTCGGGACTGCTGGGGGACACATCCACATGCCTGCACGCCTGAGTGCTGTGTGTTTCCTGGGGGAGCACGCAGTGTGCCCAGGGCTGTGCCAGGTGTCCCGTGACCACACGGGTGTGAATGGGAGTCACCCACTGCCACCATACCCAGCCTCAGTCTGCAGGTCCCGCCTCCTGGAGCCCCTGGCATATCCCTACTCATCGCAAGGGCAAGAGGAGGGATAGTTTCAGTAGGGTTGGCCACCTGGTGGCCACCTGGGCTGTGCCACCTGGGACAGGCATGACGCCCCGTCGGCCTCTGGGCCCGAGTTTCCCTGTCCCACCGCGGGGGACGTCGGAGCGCTGGTTCTGTGTAGTGGGCAGCCCCGAGACCACGTCAGCTTCCTGCCTTCCGCGCGGGCCGGGACCGGGGAGGTGCCGGAGGTGGGTGGGGGCGAGGAGCCCAGGCAGCCGCAGCAGCCTGGGCGCGCGGGACTGTCCCACCTCGCACAGGGCCACATGGGGGGTTTCCAAGCTGCACAGCCGGCCGCCTCGTCTCTAAAAACAGCCCCTCGCCCACCAAGGTTTCCTTTGCTGTCGCCTATTTAAAAAAAAAAAAAATCCCCTATCTGCACAGGAGAAAATATTCATCACGCGCCAAGCATGCGCCAGGTGCACGCAGCGGGGCGGGGTGGGGGGGCACGCGGGGTGGAGCCTGGTAGTGCAGGGGTAAGGGGCGGAGCCCGGCCAGAGGGGGCGGGGCCCCAGCCTGCGGCCCCTCCCCTGCCTCCCAGTCAGTCCTTCTGAATTCACTCGGGGGCGTTAGTGGGGACTCTGGCTATTCCTCCGTGGTTTCCCAGAGCACCCGCGCAGTTAGGAAGCTATGCAGATGCTTCTTAAAAACCTTTTGAAGGTGGCACGCTGGCTGTCAGGTTGGGACAGGAGCTAGATGAAGGTACCAGGCATTGCGTAAAAATCATTATCTTTTCTTTTTTTAAATCAATTGGTTTGTCCTGCGTGGGGGTGGGGGAACCTAGCTTCGAGGTGCCTCCGGTTTTTCAAGAGCAAGTTGAAGCCACAGAAACCTTGACTTAGCTCAGGTGCCCTAGCCGCACCTGCCTGCGCCCCCCGCCCCCCGCCCCCAGCAGCTTCCCCCTCCTGGTGAGCGGTCTGGCGTGGCTGTGCTTACAGAGCCGGGCCCGGCTGGACGGCAGCACGAGTGAGTTCTGCTGATGTCTCCTCCATGGCAAGAATAGGGTGGGGGTGTGCACGAGGGTTCTTGGTGCTTGGCATGAGACTGGAAAGTTCTAGAATGCCAGTGGTTTTAGAAATGGGCTGGTGAACCTGGGATCGGGGTGTGTGGGGCTCAGACGGGTGCATGAGAATGGAAGAAACCCCAGTTTCTCCTCGGGGCATGAGCGGCCCACCCAGCCCTCAGCAGCCGAGACACACTGGGGCCAGTGTGTGCTGTGGTCCTCACACCTCTGGGGACAACAGGTTCCAGGCACCACCTGAGCTGTGAGCTCCCCAGGAAGCCCGCGGGGTTGTCCAGCCCACAGGGCTGCGGGTGCAGGAACGGGGACACTGGGCAGAGGGACTGGGGCCGGGGGCAGGGGAGGGGAGCTCCTTCCTCGCTCCATCTTTGAAGGGGACTCAGCTTGTGAACAGGGGTGCAGGACATTGAAGAGCTGGGAGGATGGAGCAGGAGGTCAGCTGGCCTGAGAGGAAAGCAACACACTGGAAGGCAGGGTTGGGAGGGAGGTGCCTTCCTAGGAATGGCTCTGGAGTTCCTGGGTGCAGCCAGACCTGAAGCCCTAGTTCCCTTGGACTTTTTAGGCACTTGAGCGTGAAAGTCATTAGCTAGTCAGTCACCAACTGTTTCTCGCTTTTGGTTTTCTGGGCACAAGGTGGATGGTACTTCCTGGTCACACATCCTAATGTGATCCCAAGGACATTTCCACCTCGGTTTCAGAGACAAAGCCTCAGACCACGGCGCCGTGTTTCCTGCCTGCTCCCTAGAGCAGGGATGTACGTGACTGCGGTGTCTCCGAGAGTGCATTGGTGCCTGGCACAGAGCAGCCCCTGCACCCGCACTGCACGCGTCACGGCCGAGTAGCGGTCAAAGGGCGGGGACCAGCTGGGAATGCACAGAACCCTGAGTGGAGAGGGAACGAGGGGCCTCCTGGGAGGGCTGTGATGGGGCGGGAGCCCCTCCCCCGGTCAGGGGTGTTCCCCATCCCCGGGGGGCAACAAAAGTGAAGCTTTTTCTTGCAGAAGCCAATGGCCTCAGAGAAGCAGCTGTCTCCATCCGCTACTTGGGTGGGGTCACCGGTCCAAGACAAACCCCGCCCCTACAAGGGGGCGGTGTGAGCGGGGTTTCGGGGCCGGACAGCTGGATTGGAAGAATGGGAGATCCATTTCCAGCTTCCTCCCCCGTGCCACGGGCCTAAGTTAATACCAGTATTACCCAGAAAAGTTCGTGGAAAAAATGAAAAATTAAATTTGAGTGCAAAGTCTCTGAAATCCGCGAATTCCAGAAACTTTTTTGAAGACCCTGCAGATGCACGAATTTCAGATTTTTTGCACCAAAATAAATGTTACTATTTTAAGTATATTTTTTGATTCACATGTAATACTTGTATATTTTTATAGGGAACAGGGTAATAAAGTTATCTTTTAATTCCACTTTCTAGTACCTTCATGTGTATAAAGTGCCCAGAATAAAGCCTTACACAAGGCAAGAGATGGTTGCTCTTATTAGATCATCATTATTTATTTATTTATTTATTTGAGAGGTAGAGTTACAGAGAGAGGGAGAGACAGAGAGAGAGGTCTTCCTTCCGTTGGTTCACTCCCCAAATGGCTGCAATGGCTGGAGCTGTGCTGATCTGAAGCCAGGAGCTTCTTCCAAGTCTCCCACTTGGGTGCAGGTACCCAAGGACTTGGGCCATCTTCTACTGCTTTCTCAGGCCATAGCAGAGAGCTGGATCAGAAGTGGAGCAGCCAGGACTAGAACCAGCGCCCATATGGGATGCCGGTGCTGCAGGGGGAGGATTAACCTACTGTGCCATGGCGCCGGCCCCTATGTTATCATTTTTTTTTTAATATTTATTTTGTTTGAAAGGTAGAGTGAGAGACACACACACACACACGCACACGCACAGAGACAGACAGATGTTCTATACCCTGAGATCTACCTGCTGTTTCACTTTTCAGATGGGGTGCAATAGCCAAGGCTGGGCCAGGCTGAAGCCAGGAGCCAGGAGCTTCTTCCGGGTCTCCCACCTGGGTGCAGGGGCCCAAGCACTTGGACCATCTTCTACTGCTTTCCCAGGCACATTAGCAGGGAGCTGGATGGGAAGGGGAGCACCGGGACTCAAACTAATGCTCTTGTGGGATGCCGGCGTCACAGGCGGTAGCTTAACCCACTGTACCACCACGCTAGCCCCTGTATCATCATCAAGCCAGCTGTCGAGAGTCTCACACAGACATGAGGAAACCAGGGGGAGCCAGCAGGAAACAACTACTGCCTGGTGGCTGATGCCACCTGCTGAGAGGCAGCGGCACCAGCAGGTGCACACTGGCATCTGCTAGAGGCTTCCGCAGGGGAGCCTTCTGTGGCAGCTTCTTCTAAAAATTCAATGAACGCTGACTTTTGCCCTTTGGATGGGTGGACCTGCTGTGGGCGCACAGTAAGTAAGGAGCACATGCAAGCATGCACACACACACACACACACACACACACCTGCATTTGGAATGCCCCTGGCAGAGGCGTGTCCAGGAGCCGAGGGAAAGATGGGCCGACAGAGGCCATGAGCTCACTGACTGGGGGGCTGTTGCAGGCCTGGGGTTGGGAGCAAGGGCTGGGGACCCTGGAAGTGGCTGTGAGTGGCAGAGGAGTGTGATCTGAGAGGAAGGGGAGGAGGGGAGGCCGAGCCCAAGGCAGCTGGGGGATGTTCCAGGGAGCAGAGCTGCACGTGGGAACCCCGGGAGGCCCTTCAAGTAAGATGCTTGCCATCAGGGAAGAGACGGGTTCCTGCTGCTCAGCTTCTGATCCAGCTCCCTGTTAATGTTCCTGGGAAGGCAGCAGGAGATGGCCCAGATCCTTGGGCCCCTGCCACCCACATGGGAGACCTGGATTGAGTTCCTGGCTCAGTCCCTGTTGCAAGCCTATCTCTGTTTTTGTCTCTCTGCCTTGCAAATAAAATCAAAAGGAAGTCGCTGTCTCTACACGCTGAGCAGATGCACGAGGGGTGCTGCTGGGCCCGAGCGAGCTGCACCAATGGCACACTGTCTGTGGTGGGGTAGGTCCCCACCTTCCCGGGGGTGCGTGCAGCTATATGCCAAGACAAATGCAACGCAAAGGGTTCCTGGAGAGGGGCCCAGAGGCTCTGCCGTATCCGCAGTGCTCCAAGTGTTTGAAATGACAGGGTTAACACGCAGGCACTCTCTGTATCTTCAGGTTCCATGCTCCCCTTTCAACCAAAGGGGCATTGAAAATATTCATTAAAATAAAAAAGAATTTACAACTGTACTGAACATGTATGGACTTTTAAATAATTTTTATGTATTTATATTTTATTTGTGATAAAATCTTCCATCTTCTGGGTCACTTCCCAAATGGCTACAAAAGCCAAGGCTGGGCCAGGCTGAAGCCAGGAGCCTGGACCTCCATCTTGGTCCCCTACATGGAAGGCAGGGACCGGGGTGCTTGTGAGAAGGAAGTTGTGTCAGATCAGAGTTGATACAGGCACTCCAACATGGGATGTGGGTGTCCTGAGTGGTGTCGTCACCTCTGCATCAGACCCCAGTCCCAAGGCTTTCCCCTGAACAATACAGCATAACAACCATCTGCAGAGCACTTCCAGGGTGTTAGCTCTGAGTCACCAAGGGTTGATGGACAGCAGCAGGTGCATGTGCCTGGGCTGTGTGCAAACACTGCTCATGTCACACAAGGCACTTGAGCAGCCTGGGCTTTTAGTCTCCACAGAGGTTGGTCCTGGAACCAATCCCTGTGCTTACTTAGCTGCTCTGCCTAAGGAAACAGGGAAAGCAATAAGAGAGGAAGGTGAGACTGCGGAGGAGGGGCGACTCCAAGGGCTTAAAGCCAAGGGTGTCGGGGCCTCGTGCAGGTAGCTGGCCTGGTGTTAGAGGATGCGTCCACCTGCCTCTTGCCCCCTCCTTCTCTGTGTGGCCTATACAGCCTCTTGAGGCTGCTCCGTTGGCCACACCTATTTCAGCCCCTTGGGAGTCTTTTCACCTGGTGGTCCGTGGTTAGCATCTCTCCTCCTGAATCTGAATCCCCTCACAGCCTGGGCACGCACACTTTTGTCTTCCACAGTTGCTACCTTTCACTCGTATTTAACCTGAGGCCTCATCTTTGGCATCTGCCCTGCAGGCATTGCCACTCACAGTTGGTCTACACAGTTGATCTACACAGCAGGGACTCCATTGTGGAGCACCGAGACTCCATCTTGAGAAAACACCCCCACCCTGAGACTGGTTTGAAACTATGATCTAAAACTTAGATGATAATGGACCACTGCATCCCACTTTGCAGAGCACAGAAACTCCCTAGCATGACTGCTTAATACAGACTCACCTGGATTAATGTCATGATTGTATTTTGCCTATGGTCGAGACTGTAATTGGGGGACCAGTGCTGTGGCGTAGCGGGTAAAGCTGCTGCCTGCAGTGCCAGCATCCCATATGGGCACAGGTTCAAGTCCCGGTTGCTGCACTTCCCTGCTTTGGCCTGGGGAAGCAGCGGAAGATGGCCCAAGTCCTTGGGCCCCTGCACCCGTGTGGGAGACCTGGAAGAAGCTCCTGGCTCCTGGCTTCGGATCGGCGCAGCTCCGGCTGTAGCGGCCAATTGGGGACTGAACCAGCAGATGGAAGACCTCTCTCTCTCTCTCTCTGTGTAACTGACTTTCAAATAAATAAATAAATGTTTTTTTTTTTTTTTTAAAAAGAGACTGTAATTGGTATTAGTTTTGCATAGGCTTTAGGTCAGCTTGACCCAGCAACCACGTATTCCCCCTCCCCTCCTTGTGGTTTTCACCTTTATAAACCCTGTTTTGAGCTTCGGGGTTGAGAGTTCTTTAGGGCATGAGCCCACTCTCCACTGCTGGCAACAAAGAACCATCACATTTTATCAATATGCGGTGCTCCCGTTTGCACTCACTCAGGGACAACACCAGTGGCTTTTGAAGACCTTTGTTTAGTCTGGAGGGGAGAGAGCTATCTTGGATGGATAGCTGATGGCTGGATGGTTGGTTGACTGAGTGAAAGGATGGATGGGTGGGTGGACAGGTAGGTGGGTGGACAGATGGGCAGGTGGGTGGATGGGTGGGTGGACAGATGGGTAGGTAAGTGGGGTGGACAGATGGGTAGGTAGGTGGGGTGGACAGATGGGTGGATAGGTGGGCAGGGGGGTGGGTGGGTAGACAGATGGGTGGAGGGCGGGAAGGAGCAGGCCATCCTTGGGCGGAATGGCTGCTGGAATGTGGAGCGGCACTCACAGACTCCACCTCTCCTCAGAGCTGTGTCCCATCCTTCTCTAGGAGACACTGAGCACCCTACTCTGAGCTGGCACTTGGCATCTCTCAGCTCCCCCGCCTCCCTCAAGCGAGATGTTCTACCCCCATTCTGCAGATGGGAAAACCAAGGCTCTGAGAGATGAATGCCAAGACCAGTTCTCCAAACCCACCTTTCTCCCTACACAACAGGCAGTGATCGCGTGGTGTTTCCTGTTTGGAGCTCACATCCGTTATTTCACAACATCTTCTCCAGAAACCCCACTGCTCTTTACACTGGGATGCAACTGAAAGAGCAGAAAAGGACTTGGGCAGGCAGTGCCAGCCTCACCCTCACAAGCCCGCCCTCGTCTGAGGGACCGGGGCCCCGATGCTGCCGGGGAGACTAGGGGTCTCTGGGCCACACGGCCCCAGAGTGGTCAGTGAGAGGAGCTGGAGTGGGGCGCAGGTGACTGGGGAGGCCCACGGGACCCAAGACAGCCCCTGTTCAGCACTTTCGGCTCACAGGCAGGGGAAAGCCCACAGCTGCTAGAACTTTCTATATGTCAACAGACGACAGAAATTGGGATGATTTTTAAAATAGGAATCCTCTAAATGTTTAAAAGGTTCGTAATCAACTAAAAAGCCCTCGATGACATGAGCTGGAGACCCTAAAGGGGCCATTTCTTTCTCCTTCCCCGCCGCCAACCCAGGCCACCAGCGGCTGTGACCTGCTGACGGGGCCGGCCGTGGCCTGGGGCTGGCCACTGTCCCGTGAAGGAGCAGGCCCGGGGACAGCTGGGCTGTGTGGCCCTCCCTATCTACCAGCATCCTCACCTACTCCAGGATGCTACGCCCGGGGCTGGTGGAGCCCAGTGCCTGCTCCATGGGTTTTCCCGACAACGGCCACTCCTGGCTGCTCCAGACCTAAAAGCTAGGAATCCCTAGATATTGGCGATTCTTTAGGAAATGCAGGAGAAATTCAAATACACTTCACTTTAATTATAAAATAAATACAAACATGCCAGGAGGACCACCCTTTTAGATGAGGAAAGAGGCAAAAAAAGAACAAAATGAAATGAAACAGAACTACAGGGACCCTACCCCCACCCCTGTCCCCTCCGTGTGTGGCCAGGCAGGTGGGAGGCAGGGGCGCCCGCAGGAGCAGGAACCGGGGACAGCTGCCTGGGGGACCTCAGGCAGACGCTGCCATGGTGACAGTCTGGAATGTGAGCTGGCCAACACGGGGCAAGCCCTGTGAGCCCCGAACTCCCACCCCCACCGCCCAAGGCTGCCGACAATGACGTCACCAGAAGCTCTGGCAGGCCCCCTCCCGGGCACCTCAGCCTCAGCCTCAGCCCAGCGCAGACTCTCGGTTGTAGCCATGGCTGAGGCGAGGAGACAGCGGCGGGACCACCAGGCTGCACCCCGCTGGGACAGCAGCAAACTCATGGTGTGATGGAGCAGGTTCCCAGGGGCAGGTGGGCCGTGGGCCCCTCTTCCCAGAGCTCCAGCCCCACGGAGAGCTGCCGGCTCCTGTGAGTCTCAGGCACCGGTGGGCCCGGAGGGGAGGGGAGGGGAGGGGCCATCCGCCCGCGCCCTACAGGTGGATCCACTTGTTCCAGTTGACCTCGGGGGGGAACACGCAGCCCAGCCGGAAGGTGCACTCCAGTGTGGGCTCGTAGAAGGCCGTGGGGCACTCGCTGAGGCTGGGGAGCACCTCTGCTTCCTCCTCTTCGTCCACCTTGGGCTCGGAGAAGAGCGAGACAGCCGGGGGCTTCCTCAGGAAGCGTTTCCTGATGCAGCCCAGGAATTCCAGGCCCTGGGGGCACAGACAAGGTTACTGGGAGCCACTGCCCAGGGCAGGGGTTCGCAGGGCGGGGAGTGGTAGGGGGAGGACGGGTTGCTGTGAACTGCATTCAGGGTGCCCGTGGGGTCTGGGGCCACAGCTGCCTCCAGCCGGGTTTGACTGGTCTGCTCATGCACTCAAGTTCAGGAAATAGTTGTTGCACTTCAAGTCTATAGCTCGCTGCGGAACCCTGGGCAGCCCGCAGCCAGGCTGGGGCACAGCTGCACATGGCGGGGAGGGGGGGGCTGGAGACTCACGGCTCTTTCAGCCCGGGGGGCAGCGTGGAGGTGGTGCCGGAGGCCAGGCAGGGAGCTCCGAGCAGCGCGGGCTGAGCAGGGAGACTGCTGAGAGCCAGGGCAGGGCCCCAGGGCTACAGGCAGTGGTGTCTTCACAGGGGGGTTCAGGGGTGAGCGATGGAAGGAAGGGAACTGAAGGGGAACTCACAAGGGGAATACCAGGAGCGTGAGACTCTTGGGAGGGGCCTGGCTGCCCGAGGGGGGCTGCCGTCTTGTGCGTGGAGCCCCACCCCCACTCCCCCGTGCCCCCGACTGAGCCCGCCCCGTCCCCGTACCTGCAGCAGCTCGAGCACGGCCACGGGCTGCAGGACGCCCTGGTAGTGCTGCATCAGGCAGCTCTCGGGGATGCCCGGCTTGCTCATGATGTGGTACAGCAGGGCCTCCATCATGCCCTTGCACACGGGCGTGTTCAGCTGCCCGTCCACCACGCGCCACGGGCGGCTCACGAAGCAGATGCGCTCCAAGTCCCTGCGGGGGTGGGCGGGTGGGAGTCAGGGCGGGGCGGCAATGCTGGCTGGAGTCAGAGGCCTGGGCGCAGGCTGCTCTGGCTCTGACCTCCCCCGCCCCCGTCTGGACACAGAGGGCCGTGACGGCTGCCTGGGAGAGCCACGGCGTGTGGGGACTCACGGATGCTGCAGTGAGCCATGGTCCTGCGCCACCCCACACGCTGGCGGGAAAGGGATGAGGGTCCTAGGTCTGCCGGCTCCCCCAGTGCCCTGGCCCACGGCTGGTGGCCCTCGGCCAAGCTCCCCCAAGGCCTCTTAGGAAGCTCTGCTTCTGGCGCCCGTGGGCTTCCAGGCGTGATTTACTCTGCTATTCAGCCGTGGGCTGCCTGGCTACATGGGGCCCTGGGGGCAGGGCGGGGGCAGACCCCAGGCAAGCTGGACCCCAGGCTCTGACCTTTGTGGCTGGGCCCTGCCAAGGTCCGGGCCACACACACGCCCACTGGAGGTGCCCTCGTCAGCGCCCTGGGGCAGCGAGGGCACCAGAGGGGGCTCTTAGGGGTCTGATGGGGATGGTCCCTCCTGATACACGGGTTCCCATGCCAGCGCCACCTGTTAGCTCTGGACACAGCACTTCCTGTGGCCTGCAAGAGGCTCTCTGGGTTAATCTGGTCTTGCTGTGAGGCCTTGGGCAAGGGCAGTACCTCTCTAGGCCTTTGCTTACCTGTAAAATGGCAGTGAGGACACCCTGGGGGCTGTGAGGAGGACCCAGGGACACGCATGTCAAAGTGCCTGGCGTGCGCTACTTGGGGACTGAAAGAGCAGCTTCTTGCCCCAGACGGGCCAGGGGTGGCAAGCGGTGGGCAGCACCGGCCTTACGCACTGCACCTGCCCACGGCCCCATGTGGAGAAGTGCTGTGCCGGGCCCCCTGCCTGGGAACCCCGAGGACAAACCTCCCCCGCGGCTCACGCCCTGCCCAGGGCCCCCATCAGGAGTCCTGCGCTCACCTTTCCCGGGCTGCCTGCGAACGGCTGCTGGCCATGGAGCTCCCTGTACACCCAGACATGGAGGAAACGCAAGTCAGACACGGAGGAGATGCAAGTCAGAGCCGCAGAACGCGGGAGGGCGTGGCTCTGCCTCCCAGCCCTCCAACAAGCCCGGGCAATGCCGTGGGGCTGCGGGGCCAGGCCATGGAGGCCAAGGCCAGTACGTGCAGCAGCCACTGCAGCAGGCAGCAGCTTGCTGTGGGGCCTCTGCCCTCTAGTGGACAGACAGGAACAGGCACGTCTTAGTCACCTCTCGGGGTTAAGGCTGGGAAAACCGCAGGAAAACCCCTTAGGCAGCAGCGGGCCGGTGCCCAACCTGGGAGGAGGGGATGGGGCCCAAGGGGTCTGGGGCCAGAGGACAGGTGGGGTGAGAGCAGAGCTGGGATCTCAGAACCTTCTAGAAGCAGCTGCTGTTCTTGGCCTGAGGAATGGGGTACTCCAACACCTCCTGGGTCCCCTGTACCTTTGTCTTCAGGAGCTGTGGCCTGCATTTCCATCTTCTCATCTGGCCCAGGCCTGAGGTTGGGGGTCAAGCGCATGTCCTGGAGGGCAGGCCTCTTGGCGGGGGGCTTCTCAGAGCTCTCGGTGCCGGCCTCGCTCTGCATGGTCCAGCTGGCACGCCTCTTGGTGCTCTGGGCACCCTGGGCAGGGGGTACCTGCCTCTCGGGGGCGCCATCCTTGCTGGAGGGCCCCTCCTGGGGTCTGCCTTGGGCATCTTCTCTTGGGACGTCGGTGTCCCCCTCTCGGCCCTTTGGCTGCACCAAGTGCAGGAGCCAGGGCTTGGCAGAGGCCATGGTCACCAGGCGAACGGTGTTTCCACCAACTTCCAGCACCTGATTCTGCTCCAAGAGGTCCTGGAAAAGCAGGGGACACACGGGGTCTGTCTGGGAACCAGAGACAGCCGGGCTTCACACGACACGTGAGGAAGAGCAGCCCCCCTGCCCAACGTGTCAGGCGTCCTGAGCAGGTGACAAGGCCAGCTCCACCAGGACGCCCCCTGGCTGTGGCAGCACCCCTCCCTGTCCAGGCTCGGCATGGTTTTTCAAGAAACAGGTCACACACGTGAACCTCGCAGCCACAGCTGCACCCTCGAAGCCGATATGACCCATGAGTGCCCACCCGCCCGGCAGGGTCCTCCCGTGGGCCCCGACGCCCAGGTTCTAGCAAGTTCTTCTGCAGAAGGCACTATTATTCCCGAGCACAGCCACCTGCAGCTCCTGGTGGCACCTGTCTGCCCCAGCACCTTTCTTTTCATTCTTCTATGGAACCCCATGATGCAGGCTGCAGGAATTTGCCCCATCCAACCGCCTGGAAGCAGGACCCTCAGCTGGGCCGTGCGGGTCGGGGACAGGTGTGTTGCGGGTGCTCACCATCCAGGGCCCCGGCTGATGCCTGAGCCATCACCCCGCCATTGCGGGGCTCTGACACCCAGGCGCCACCTGGTGGCCGTGAGAAAAACCTTCACTTCTCTCTGAGCATCTGCCCACCGCCTGGGGCCACAGAGGCAGGAGACCTGATGGGGCCCCAGCCACAGAGGCACCGCGTGATGTGGCTGCCTGCGCTCCTGGGAACACCCTGACAATGACCAACCCTGGCCTCCACGCTGAGTCTGGGGAAGGAAGCGACAGACTTCCTGGCACAGCCCGCGTGTCCTCCAGGTCTCCCGAGGCCCGGGCGTGGAGGAGAATGCACCAAGCCCTCTTTTCACGCAAGGCTGCAAGGCGGACAGGAATCTGCACCCCACAGCTGCGGCTGACGTCTCACAGAGGCCACAGCAGTCCCGAGGCACCCATCTGCTATCTCATTCTTTTGCGAGTTCCAGGCCAGTGGTGAGTACAGCGGGTCAGGTGTGGGCTGCCAGGGAGTCGCGGGGACAGCGAGAGCTGAGGACACGCATGGGACCAGGGAGGCAGGGCTCCTAACTGTCCACCTGCGCTGCTCTGCAGAAGGTGCCACGCCAGGCCACGCCCCCCACCGGGCCCCTCTGCAGCCTGCAGTCGAGCTGGGAGCCGTGACTCCCGCCTCACCTCCGGCACGGCTCACCTGCATGTAGTCCGGGAACGTCCTGGTGCGCTCCCCTGCCGGCTTCTCCAAGGCGCAGAACCGTCTGCCTAGCTCCTGCCTGTCAACCCCAAAGCAGCCGGCGGCTGCCACGGCTCCCCAGATCTCCAAGGCGGCAGCCACGTCTGCAGGTGTATACCCAGACAGCTCCACCTGGCGGGTGAGCTCTTCCAGGCTGCTGCTGCTTTCCTGAGGGTCTATCAGCCTGGTGAACGTGTCGGGCAGGCGGGAGCCCCCCATGGAAAGCTCTTCCAGAGAAGAGGCTGCAAAACCAGGAGGAAGCTCAGGATTAGCCTGGCGGCAGCCCTCTCTCCCCACCCAACACCCAGGAGGTCACGTTCCAGCACCAACTTGCTGCTGTCCCATAGCTACAGGGTCACCTGCTGGGGTCACACTGGGTCCTGGCAGTCAGGACCCCGCCTGCACTAGGTTCCCCAGCCCAGCACGGTCCCCCGCTGGAGACTGACAGCAAAGGGCCCAGAGGCCGTGGCCTGGGGTCTGAGGACCGTGACTCCAGCACTCTGGAGGGGAGAGCCGGCTGCCCTGGGCCCGCCCTTCTGATGCTCACAGGCTCCTGAGACCCAGTGAGATAGTTCAGGCCCCTCCATCAAGTCCCCATGTCTTTACCCTGATTTCTTATTGTTGTTTTAGTTTTTCCATAAACTTTTTAAAAAAGATTTATTTATTTGAAAAGCAGAGCAACAGAGAGAGAGGAAAAGAAAAGATCTTTCATCTGTTGGTTCCTTTCCCAAATGGCCACTCTGGCTGGGGCTGGTCCCAGAACTCCATCCGGGTCTCCCATGTGGGCGGCAGGGGTCCAAGCACTTGGGCCATCTTCCGCTGCCTTTCCCAGTGCATTAGCAGAGAGCTGGATTGGAACTGGAGCAGTGGGGACTTGCTCTTCCATGGGCTGCCACTGCCACAGGCAGCTGCTTAGCCTAGTGTTCCCAACACTAGCCCCAATGCTAGTTTCTGTCGCTTCTGGTAACACGTGTCCCTGTCAGGACCACATCCGTATGCTGTTACTAGACTTCTGGCAGGCACAACACAGGATTCAAAGTGTGGTTATGGGGCCAGTGCTGTGGCACAGTGGGCTAAGCCTCTGCTTGCGACACCGGCATCCCTTAAGGGTGCTGGTTCGAGTCCCAACTGCCCTACTTCTGATCCAGCTTCCTGCTAACGCGCCTGGGAAAGCAGTAGAAGATGGTCCAAGTGTTTGGACCCCTGCCTTCAGCCTGGCCAGCCCTGAGGCTGGAGGGAGGAAAGGGTGGGATGGAGGAGGAGGAGCAGGGGAGCCCGTGGGCCCTGATACTCCTGTTATGTGCGGTGGAAGAGGCAGAGAAGGCCTGAACCGAGGTGCCAGTAAGTTGTTAAAGCTTCAAAGCTGGGGTAGGGCTGTGGCGCAGCAGGTTAAGCCAATGCTTGGGACACCCACATCATCTACTGGAGTGCTTGGGGCCGAGTCCTGCCTCCACTTCCTACCCAGCTTCCTGCTAAAGCACCTGGGAGGCAGCAGGTGATGGCTCAAGTACTTGGGTCCCTGTCCCTGACATGGGAGACCCAGACGGAGCTCCTGGCTCCTGGTTTCAGCCTGGCCCAGTCTGGGCTGTTACAGGCGTTTGGGAAGTCAATCAGTAGATGGAAAAGCTCTTTCTCTCTGATGGTTTGCCTTTCAAATAAATAACCTTCAAAAATGGAAAAATGTAATCAATTTTCAAAAAGTTTCCAAGGTCATCAAAAAAAAGTGTCTGCATTGCAGGGCACCGGGCAGGAGAGCAGGACGTGAACTGACCACGGTCTCTTCCGGCCAGGGCCACCACGCACTCAGCAAGTGCACAGAAGCCTGGGGCCGGAGTTCTGAAGGTCCCCAGCAGAAACGAAACAGGGACAGCGGGAGGCGCGGAGGCCGGGGCTGCTTTCCCGTAAAACCCGCTAAGTGCACGTGTGCGTGACCCTGACACAAACGACAGGGTGAAGCGGCAGCGCACACGCTCCCACGGAGGAGGTGTGAGACAGCCGCGGAAGGTGGCTCAGGACGTACGCCTCGTGAGGCTGCTGCCAAGGACGGGCTCTGTCTCTGTGTACCCCGGCCTGCGGGTGCCCCCTGCAGGGGCTGGCAGGGCATGCACTCACTGGGGAGCTGCAGGCGGATAGGCGCAGGGGAGCGGCGCAGCCGGAACTTCATGTGGCAGGAATTGACCACAATGCTGTCGTTGGGGCTGAGGCCACGCGTGCTGAGGCCGGGCGCGTAGTAGCCCCGCATCAGCAGGTAGTTGGTGTGGGAGGCCTGGCGGGCTTTCACCTCGAAGCTGCGGCGTTTGCCCCCCGCGCCTTCGTCCAAGTCTTCCTCCTCGTCCTCGTCGTCGTCCAGGCCCCCGTCCTTGTCAGAGCTCCCTTCCTTCCCCAGGCTGGGGAGAGAGACAGTGACACCAGGCCCCGTGGCCTCCCTCCGGGATCTGGGACCTGGCCGCGAGCATGTCCCCGAAGGCCAGCTCAGACAGCTGCTCTGACCCGGCTCCCTCCCCACCTCCCAGGCTCCACCTGCTGTGCCTAGAAGAGCCTGGGAGGCTCTGTCCAGTAAAACCCCTGCCTCCTTTCAAGTCTCAGCGGACCTAGGGCCAATCCCACCTCCTCGCCCGACCCTCCCTGCTGTGTTTCCTGCGGCAGATTCCTAGAGCAGCCGGGAGGCTCCCTGGATGCTGTACTGTACCCCAGTTAGTTACTGATGGGTGACACCTTCTCCCCTCGGGCACCCAAAGCCACTGCTAGGCCCTGCTTACACAACGCCAGACACAAGACCCCCAAACCCAGCCCACTAGGAGGCTGAGCAAACATGACCATGGTGGCGAGGAAATGACCACGCAGAGCCCCGCACAGGCCCCCAGCAGGCCGGGCCCCCCGCTCACCTCTTCATGACCTCATTCTCCACCATCAAGCTGTCCACCACCACAATCTGCTCGGGGATCCTGACGTCCACAGAGATGAGGCCCAGAGAGAAGAGTGTGAGGACGGCCACACAGTGTCCTCCAGGGCCGTCCAAGGAGAAGGGCACCATGTCGCCCGTGGACTCGCTGCCACTATCCTGGTCCCGGAAGGAGAAGCTGTTGGGCCGGTCCACCCTGCCGGCAGCCCGGAGGCGGTCCAAGAACTGGAACGACTCGGAGCAGATGGTGCTTGGGAACCGCCAAGTGAAAATCCTGCCAGGACAGATGGACAGACGGACGCTGGGGGTCACCGGACCCTCCAACCTCTCCCCTGCGCCCTCTCCAGCTCAAACTGAGGGGCTGCTTTGTTTAAATTTTGAATTTATTTTTGTTCTTAGAGAGAGAGAGAGAGAGAGAGAGAGAGAGAAATCTTCCATCTGCTGGTCCCTTCCCTACAGGGCCACAACAGCCGGAGCTGGACCAGGAGCCAGGATTCCAATCTGGGGCTCCCACATCAATGGCAGGGATCTAAGTACTTGAATCAACACCTGAGGCCTTCTGAAGAAGCGCCTGACCTGATACCCTGTGCCGCGCGTGTACTCGCCACAGACAGCTGTCACTCTCGGCTTTACCTAGAACCGGGCCTGGACTCACAGAGACACAGGACAGTGTGTGCAACTGCACCAGCTCCGTAGGGTCACTGCGAAGGGCGGGCCCTCGGGTCTGTCTGAGAGCGTGCCCCTCTGCATTCTGTGGCCACATCCACCTCCCAGGAGGACAAGGGGCCCACCCGGTGCCATCACTGTGCCTGAATGCAGCCCCTTGCTGCTGCCAGAGAGGACAGTGGAGAAGGGGCAGGCATCCAGGAGACACCGCTGGCCAGTGTCCTCTTGGGAGACACCCCCTGCATGTGGCTGGGAGGCTGGGGGTGCAGGATGCCCAGCGTGCAACGCTGACTGGGGCGTGCGTTCAGAAGGGGGCTCCGGGGAGATGCTTCTCTGGGCACAGCTCACATCCCGGCCCTGTGCAGGCTGCTGGGGCTCTACCTTGGAGACCGCAGAGGTGACAGGCCACCTGGGTCTCAGAGCTGTAGGGGACGTGATCAAGATAATGCTCAGCGGGGGGTGGGGACAGCTCATTTTTTTTAAGGATTTATTATTTATTTGAAAGGCAGAATAATAGAGAGACAGGGAGAGAGAGAGAGGGCTCTTTCATCTGTTGGTTCACTCTCCAAATGCTTACAGCAGCTGGGCCTGGGCTACGCCAAAGCCAGGAGCCCTGAAATCCACCCAGGTCTCCCATGTGGGTGGCAGGCACCCGAGTACTTGGGCCATCCTCCGCTGCCCCCCAGGTGCAGGGAGCCAGCATTTGAACCAGCACTCTGATTTAGGAATGTGGGTGAACCAAGCAGTGGTCCAACCCCTTGCACTACAACACCGGCCCCAAGGGGACACCACCAGCTGAGCCGGTTATTCCATCTGGAATTGAGTATACCCGTCAGACGGGAGGAAAGGGAACAGACCACCGCACCACGGTCAGGCCCCCCTGAGTACCGTGCGCAGTCGCCTTGCTCCTCCCCCGGGGAGGGGACCCTGCCCAGAGCCCGCCTCTCGCACCCACGCTGCAGGAGAGCAGCACTGCTCCTGGTTGGGAGCCTGGCTCGGAGCACAGTGGGCAGGCGCTTACCTGTAGTAGCTCTGAGACAGCTGGTAGGACATGGGCACGAAGGGCAAGGCCCGGTTTTTCTTGGGGCCCTGCGTGTGGCTGACCCGGCGCCGGTTGACCAGGCTCCTCTTCTGGCACTCCAGGAAGGCCTTCACGAGGGTCTGGTCCTTGTACTCCTGGTACAGGCGGAAGGTCTGCAATACAGCAGGCAGGGTGGATGCACGGATGTGACAGCCGCCATTCACCGATGGAATAAGCTGTCAGTGGCAGGGAGGCCCAGCCGGGCTGTGCGTGGCAGTCCCTGCCCTCAGGGTCAGCCCAAGCAGCAGTGTCTGAAGCCCCAGCATGCACTGGCCTCAGGGATGGGCCCCGTGGCACAGTCTCCCATGAGTGCCAGCCACAAAACGTCGCTGTCACTGTCAGGGCTTGCAGGGTTCTGATGGCACTGTCCCAGGACCTCTGAGTGTCAGGGGACATGGAGGGGCGCAACCTTTAACTGACACATTGAGTGGGACCCCAGGCAGGGGACAACCAGTGAGAGAAGAGTGACCTTAGCATCGAGGGACAGAGAGGGGCGGTCAGGGCCAGCGAGGGTGCTTGGGGCCTGTGCTAGGTGGATTTCTCTAGCTGGCACCTGTGTGGCAGTCCTGGGTCTGTGGTCAGGCCTGATGGGGCAGAGGTCAGGGGTGGCTGTTGCATCGTCAGTCCCTCCCCACAGCGGCAGGAGTGGACACTGGGTCCAGCACTTGTGGCCAGGCCCCTGTGACTTCTGCTCTTCCCTGTCACTCGAAGGTGACGACAGAACAGGCATACTCAAATGGCCACTGCTGCGCAACAGGAGAGCTCAGACTATGCTGGGTGGGGTGGGAGCCTGGCCCACCCACTCAGATCTCCAAGAGGCGGGGCTGTCACAGGGCAGCGAGCCCCTGGCTGCCTGGCCGCTCAGGGCTGGCCTTCCGCACACTCCCTCTGTTTCCTGGGGCGTTGGGCTCCAGGGGGAGCTGACTGGGGTTCTGCTGGGCCTGTGGCATCATGGCTGTTGCTTTTCCAGGCTTCACTGCCAGATGGCAGGATTCCACTGCTGTGGGGGGAAGAGAGGCCCTGTAGGCTCCACAGTGGCAGTGCTCGCGGGGAGACCAGATGGCACTTGGAGCCACAACTGGAAGCAAGGCAGCAGGATGAGACTGGAGATAGGGCCCTGGCGGGACCACCGGGGCCAGGCTTTTGTCAATGGTTGGAACGTCAGTGTCTTCTCTCTAGGGCCAGGCCTTCTCGTTTGAGGGGTGGTGGCAAGAATCCCTGGGGTTCTGTCCAGCTCTGACCCAGTGATGAGCAGGACAGTGGGAAGATTTAGTTCATAGCAACCTGGCCAAGTGCAATGCTGGTGGTAAATTCCCAAATATCATTTTTGGGGTTTCTTTGCTTTAAGCGAGTATGGGTTCAAAAAAAGAAATCCAGGGAGCAGCTGTGGTCTGTGGGCCACCTGTCTGGGGCTGTGTCCTACTCTGTCTTCTTGCTCTTTGCACAGGCCTGTGAGATGCCGCAGCGCCCCCTGCTGGGCCCACACTAGCAATTCCTTGTGTGTGGGGAAGCCTCAAAGCTAAGAGGGCTCTGAGGCCTCTCTGAGGCCCCCTGACTTTTGGGACTCCATGCATCGGAATTCATCAATAGGATTAGAAAATGCCATCTTTTTATTTTCTTAATTCTGCCCCCTCTATGCTCCAAATTGATTGAGTTAATGTGATGTAAGGCAGAGGAGCAGATTTGGGGGTTTAGAGATGAAATACCGAAGTAGACTGGACTGCTGTGGTCACTCAACGTGAAGGAGACGGATGCCCTGGGCAGTCAGGCTTGGAGGGGGGGCGGCTGTTGACAGGTCAGCCTTTGAAAACACAATGCACTCTCTCGATGCCTCTGGCATGCTTCAGACTTCTAACCTCAGTCCTGGGAGGAACTGTGGTGGCCCCTGGATCTGGTCCTCCTACTCTGATGCTGACAGACAGAAACCGGGAGACACAGGTCAAGGGGTACAGTTTCAGCAGTGCAGGTGGCACTACTGCGGTGCACAGGTGGACCATGCTGGGAGGTGGGAGCCCGAGTGTTCTCAGTACACCACAGGTGAGACGGGTGCACTCCCTGGCTTAGTGGGAGGCATATGCACACCGAATCATCCAGTGGCAAGCCTTCAATTTACACAATGCAAACAAATAAATAAGACAACAACAACAACAACAGCAAAATAAGTCAAGGTGAAGGGAGCGAGGGCTGGCGTCTTCGGGGGAACCGGGTCCCCTGAGACCGCAAAGCCGAGAAGGACAGGTGCAAACGCCTCACCTGGCCCTGGTGCACCTGTGATGCCAGAAGCCGGTACCCACCTGGAAGGACTGGCAGGACTTCATCTGGCTGTCCGACAGGGCCAGCGTGCTCTGGATCAAGTTCTGGAGCACCAGGAAGTGGATGTCGTCCAAGCTGCAGGGGGAGAGGGTACGGCAGCGTGAGCACGGCTTGCCCCGGGGGAGACACGGATGCGATGCCCGGCTGAGAAGAGCTGCCGATCTGTCCTGACTAGTCACGCCACAGCATGAAGGCCCGGGCGGTTCCGGGCTTACTGACCGCACCAGTTTGCGGGAAGAAGTCGCCACCTAGCGCGTGAGCAGCAGCAGGAGCCAGTGTGGGTTTATGGGGCAGCTGAGTACTCGTGTTTTCTTTCCCTTGGATTCTAAACAAGCTTTCCTCTAAGGGAAACACAGAGCTGAAAATCAAGCTGAATGCTGATTATCCGAGATGGGGAGGCGGGCAAAGCTGAGCTCTCTCAAGAGCATTCTGCCTGGAAAATCCAGCCGAGAGCTCCGATCCTCTCCCCAGTGTCCCAAGAGCGGGCAGCCAACAGGTGCCAGTGTCACTCTGGGCCAGTTAGGGCCAGTGTCTCTCTGTGATGGGGCCAGATGCCAGCGTCCGTGGGCTGTGGAGACTCTGCCACCACGAGCATGGGTAACATGCGGGGTGGGCATGGCCATGTTCCAGTAAAACTTTTTTTTTTTTTTTTTTAATTTTTTTTTTTTTTATTTATTTTTTTGACAGGCAGAGTGGACAGTGAGAGAGAGAGACAGAGAGAAAGGTCTTCCTTTGCCGTTGGTTCACCCTCCAATGGCCGCCGCGGTCGGCGCGCTGCGGCCAGCGCACCGCGCTGATCCGATGGCAGGAGCCAGGAGCCAGGTGCTTTTCCTGATCTCCCATGGGGTGCAGGGCCCAAGCACCTGGGCCATCCTCCACTGCACTCCCTGGCCACAGCAGAGGGCTGGCCTGGAAGAGGGGCAACCGGGACAGAATCCGGCGCCCCGACCGGGACTAGAACCCGGTGTGCCGGCGCCGCTAGGCGGAGGATTAGCCTAGTGAGCCGCGGCGCCGGCCAGTAAAACTTTATTTACAGACAGGCAGCCAGCTAGATCTGGCCCTGGGGTAACACCCGTGGTAGGCTGTATGCAACCAAACCGGGTGGCAGGAGACAAGGTTCTCTGCCAAGCAGCACTTGCCTGTGAAGTTGGTCTTCTTTCCTGATCTGATCTCTTTCATCTCCGATGGCCAAAACCCGGTATCTGCAAGAGAACAGGAGAGCGTGCGTCATGAAAATAGGCCCAGGATGGTTCCCTGCGGCAAACATAATTAACTCACTGAAAGCTAGGACTACGCAGGCCATTTACAACAAGAATGCATCGCGGCCCGCTTATGAGAGCGCTGAGGGCTGCAGGATGTTTGGTCTGGTGGTTACCCACTGCCCACACTGGAATCCTGGGTTTGACTCCTGACTCCAGCTTCCAGATAACACAGACCCTGGGAGGCAGCTGTGACAGCTCAAGTAACTGAGTTCCTGCCACGCACGTGGGGAGCTGGACTGAGTGCCTGCTTCCTGGCTTCAGCGCCCGTGCAGCCTCTCGGAGGGGGTTGCAGGCATTTGCAGGGAACCAGCAGATGGGAGTTCACATATGCACTCTCTCTCACTCTCATGTAAATAATTAAACGTCCATCCCAGAGAAAGAGAGTACAAAGGAGGTGAGCAGAGATGGGGAGGAAGCGGAGGGATGAGGAAGGGGAGATGGTCACCGAGCGTGCAGGTCTCAGGCTGGAGGAATACAGGCCATACGGTGTCTATCTCTGGACTGCTCTAAGTATATGTTGTTAACGTTCTCGCTACAAAAAAAATAACATGTTGGGGCCAGCTCTAGTCCTGGCTGCTCCACTTCCCATCCAGCTCTCTGCTAGGGCCTAGGATAGCAGTTCAAGAAAGCCCAAGTCCTTGGGCCCCTGCACCCATGTGGGAGACCTGGAAGAAGCTCCTGGCTCCTGGCTTCAGATCGGCGCAGCTCCAGCTGTTGCGGCCAATTAGGGACTGAACCAGCAGATAGCAGACCTCTCTCTCTGCCTCTCCTCTCTCTGTGTAACTGACTTTCAAATAAATAAATCAATCTTTATTAAAAAAAAAAACAAAAAACAAAAAACATGTGGTGAGGTGATGGAGATGTTAATTGGCGTGATTCAATCTTCCCACGATGCATGCATCTGTCAAAATATCCCACTGTACCTCATACATAAATGTAACCATCTGCCAACAGAAGACAAGCAGAAGCCACCTAAAGGCAGTGGCAGGACGAAGTGTTGGGAGGATAACAGACGAATTCTCCTTCTTTTTTCTGAGCTGCATTTAACATCATTTTATTGTGTTCACACCAAGCAAGTACCTCCAGGAATAACGCACACAATGGGCTGTTTCAAAGACCCTGGCCATTTGTAAGCTGCGTCTTTGGCTTCCAGAAAACTAATGGAGAAATTCATCTCTGCAAAAGCAACTGCCTCCATCTACCGCCAGGAAAAAGGAGCTTCCTGTAACAACATGTGAACTCTTTTTCAGTCAAATGAGGAAAAATATGGAAGCATTTTCCATTTGGTTTGGCCAAGATCAAAACCAGCGTTGAGCTGTTACAGCTACAAATGTCCCTGCCGTCTACACAGCTCCCAAGCTCACCTTTAACAATCTCTAACTGTCCTTTTTTATGACCACACGCTGCCCCATAACTCAGCTGAAAATACTCGGGGCTGTAAATCACAAATGGGTAAACAGTCCATTGAGCTACCTTGAAGACGGCATATCAGCCGCGCCACTTAGGATTCTGGGAGTCAGTGTGCCGCAGAAACAAAAATAAAACCCTGAAAACAGCTACAGGGCGTCAACTCTGAAAATGACCACAGATGGCTCCTCGGGCCTGGCCCAGGGTGGGCGCCACACAGACGGGTCACTGGGTGAGTGAAGGAATGAGATCTCCGGCTGGAACGCAGAGCGCCAAGGTAAGGACTTGATGGATGGACGGCATCTCTTGGTAGGGAGATTGGGACCAGCGGTGGCGAGAGGGTCATTCTCGATGCGAAGAAAACGGGCCTAGTTCTCAGAACGGAAGCCCTTCCCATCTCACAGGGCTCTGTGCTGTAAAACCCAAGGCTGTTCCGCCACACGCTGGGTGGCTGAGCTGCTAGGAACCGCGCCTTTGGAGTCAGACCCCGCCTAGGCTCCGGGGCCAGCCCTGCTGCGCACACGCTCTGTGGCCGTGGGCTCGGCACTTCCACCACGCAGTTTCCGCACCCGGGAAGTGAGTGAGCCTGGAAGAAGGCACAACCAGACGCGGGAACCTGAACTGAGTGAGCAGCAGGGACGCGGTGGGAGAGGGGGTGCGAGGCCCGGGTGGGGGGCGGTGAGCAATGATGGCTCCCTCCCCAGTCTCAGGTGCCCCAAGCCAGATCGGGTGATCCAGAGACAGGAGGGTGAGGGGCACAGCCAGACGCAGCCCTGCTGACCAGGGGGACACTTCCTGGGTAGCCCCGGCCGGCCGGGCTGGGCTTCTAGCCCTGTGAGGATCACAGGAACCTCCCAGAAGGCCCTTACCTGGCAAACAGCTCCTGCAGTGTGTCTGGGATCTCAAGGCCAGGGCTCTTCAGGTTGGAACTGAACTTCTCTTTCAGCTTCTCCACAAATTCCTTAAACTCACTGGCACAAACCTTTGGGACAGAGGGGAGGAGATGTTAACCCTTCCTCTCCCAGAAGGGACGTTCGTCTAAGAAGCACGGGAGAACACCCTGCGACAGACAGCTGTGGCTGCTGAGCACAGGCAATGCTGGCTGTGCTGCCTCCCTTGCCTGGCCTGTCTCGCCGGGTCCCCAGAGGTCACCTGTCACCTGAGAGGGCAGCACACTCAGCACCACACTCAGGAGTCCCCCACTGCCGGCCCTGCCGCCAGCTCTCTCCGCTACCCCAGACAGGAAGACTGCAGCCTGCTGCACGCTGGCCCGAGTGCCTACATGATCCCCCACCACCTTGCTCCCCCAAGGTCTGGCTCCCCCTCCCCCTCCTGGCTCCTTCTTCTTCCTGCCCCCTACTTGCAACTGTCTCATTCCAGACCCGGCTCCCAGAAGCAAACTCATCATGTCACCCTGTGTCCACCTACCTATGACAGGGTAGACGCCCACCTTTGCCCTCAGGTGCTGAGACCATGCAGGCCACGGCCCCTGATGCATCCGCCTGTGACCCTAACACTGCATCCCGGGGGCCCTGTGCCCTCTCTTCCCACTGCCTCTGCCTCCGTGTCTCGGACCAGCACGGACACCTCTGTAAAGCCCTCTGAGGCAGACACAGTCTCTCTCAGCTGATTTCTTTCATCCCATTCTTCCTTTCCGGCTCTGATCTGGTCAGGGAAGGATGCGGCCCCGGAATGAAGCAGGGCCAACTGAGGCAGCCTCAATGCTCTCTGCTAGGTAACTGCTGCCCAGCCATGTGGTCCCAGCTGCCAGGGGCTTGTGGGAAAGGCTGCCTCTCAGGGCTCAGCCAGCCCCTCCTTCCACTTCCTGCTGGGAAGCCCTGGGACTCTGTTGTGAGGACCTGAGCTCCAGGAGTCAATGAGCACCCAATGGGTGAGAGCCAGCCAGATGGAAAGCTGACCACGAGGGGCAGAGAGCAAAGTGAGAGCATGCAATTGGGAACCTGATGACACCTCTGCTTGGCTGTACCAGCCAGGACGTCTCCTTTCAGACGGCTTGGCATAGGTGAAAAGCAAAGCCCTAAGCCACTGATGGCTTTGTGGAGTGGACAGAGAGGGGCTCTGGAGAGGAGAAGCTGGACTTTTCTGTTATTTGCACCCCAAACTGTTCTGCTACCCACTGCCTGACCTTGGCGGGCCTGTGCCTGCCTCTCTCTGGGGGCTGACAGCACGGTGCTGGGATGGCTGTCTACTTCTCTGCCAGTGCCACTCACTTGTGGTGTCGTCAGAGCAAGGGCCTTGCCTGGACCAGGCTGGATCCATGCAACAGGGCCCAGGCGAGCAAAGAGCAGGAAAGTTAGGTCTACACAAAAACAGCTCCTGCCTTGCTAGCCACTGCCCCGGCCGCACCTGGACAGAAAACCTGCAAAGGATCTCAAACCCTCTCAGCCAGCTTGTCCAGGAAACAGGCCAGCTGTTTGTAATTTCTGAAGCACTGCCCTATTTTCCTAACCAAACAGCTCCAAGTGCAGCAGCATGTCAAATCCTAATCATCTTTGCAAACGGATGCTTGGAGCCAGATCAAATGAGAGCCGAGGCCAGCGAACTGACATGCGGATTTCCCCAGGGAGCAGGAAACCACAGCCACGCTTGCAAGGGTGGCGGGGGCTCTGGGCCCTGGGGACAGCCCCTAGAAACAAGACCCGTCTGCAGTGCAGGCCGACTCCTGCACCCGCCCACAGCCCACCTTCGGGTCTTCATAGTTACACTTTCGATTCATGAAATCTCCGACGAGGGCTTTGTCCTGGTACACCTCGGCGAGGCAAACCCTGCAGGAGGTGAAGACGAAGGCCAAGTCAGGGAACCTTTCCGGCTTCAGCTAACGGTGGAGCAGGATTCACCATGAGCCTTCTGGAGGGGGACAGCTTTGGAAAACGAGGGATTTGGGCTCGTGCATGTGAAAGCACCTGCTCATGCCTCACATCTGCTCACACCTCACATCCTGCACGGGTAACCTAAGAACAGCCACTGCCCCCTGCCCATGGGCCCCGGCCAGGGCTGCATGAGGTACCCGTACGTATTTGCAAGCGTATTGTAAATCTAAAAATCTACAGGCACTGGCGCTCCCTATGACAAACAGCTCTCCTCTGCCCATGCCACAGATCTCTGTATCTATGTGATGGACACAGAGAGTGCTTTGTCCCAAAGGAAAAGCAGGGCAGGACGGGCAGCAGTCTAAAGAGCTTGCCGGTGGAGCCGGTCATTCCCTGGCATCGCCTGGAGGTACAGGGAGCCCTCGGGCCTCACATGGGCCTGGCCTGGGGCAGGCAGGCAGGGCATGGGGTCAGCAGCACCACTGTTGCTCTGCTTCACACCAGAGGAACCGGCCTCCATGTGATGAAGGCTCTGGCCAGGTGCCCGACCTCAGGAGACGGGGGGTGAGGAGGGAGCCCACCTAGGGCTGCTAACCCTGGAGCCCACGCTCTCCTCCCGGCACAGCTGCTGAGGGGGAAGAGCACGGCAGGAGTCAGGGCTGGGGAGGCGCGTTCCAGCCCTCACTTCACTATCAACTCACTGTCACCCTGGCCCACTGGCACTCTCTCTGCAAAGAGCTTGGATCAGGAGATCAGAGCCCTTCGGAGAGTCGGTACACAGGGGAACAGGCTCATACAGCAGCGACAGGCCTCCAGGGCATTTCTGGAGACCTCTCTGGTTGTCAAAACAGGAAGAGCGAAGCTCCTGACATCCAGTGTGTGAAAGCCGAGGGTACTTCTGAACATCCCACAGTGCACAGGACGGCCCCACACAGGGAGAGGGCCTGCCCACATGTGCACAGCGCTGAGAGTCAGAAACACCGCCTAGTGGGCCGGGCCGACTCCTCTCTACGATGTGGGTTCTGCAGGGCCCAATCCAGGGTGGCTCAGAGCCAGCTCACAGACTCGGGGCACAGCCCTCACTGACTCGGGGCACGACAGGCCAGCTGGGGCAGGGGGCTCTGCCTGCCCCGGCCCTGTGTACCCTGCTGGCCCTACTCATACTGGCTTCAACACTGGGGCTGGCAATGTTCTACAGTTTGGCCCAGGGAAAGCGAGACCGGGGCGAGCCTCGCTGGCAAGAGACAAACGACCCTGAGATTCCTGGGCAGAGGACATCCCACCCCACCCCTACCTCCACCCCCCCCACCCCCAGGCTATGGCTGGAAGCCCTCAGGGACACCCAGCTCTCAGAGCACGGGAGGACATGGTGGAGTGCGCTTTGTCCAACAAGCTGGGTCTTGTCTCGATTTTTTCCTGGAGCGAGCTGTGATGGGCTGTTAATACAGAGCTCTCAGGAGCTACTCTGAGAGCTAAAAATAGCCGTGAAAGTCGGCCTCTCCCTCTGCCACACACCAGTCATGTGACGCTCAGCGCCCAGCTTCCATTTCTCCATCTGGAAGAATGGACGACAGTGCCTGCTTTGCTAGGTTCTCTGAAGTCCAAGGAATAGCACGTGCATGCGCGCGCCCAGCACCAGGCCAGCCCTTGGGAGACCAGTGCAGCCACACCGCTCAGCTCCAGCAGCTCTGTGCCCCACCTGAAGGGGACCTCTGAGTAGGAGCCAGCGCGATGAAAGAAGACAGAAAGCACCAGAAGCCCTGAGACAGCTGTGTGCAGGAGTGGCTTACTTGTAGTTCAGATAGGTCTGTGGATTTTTGACAATGTAGCGAGCTCTTCTTCCCACTGAGTGAGATGTTTTATCCAAGGACTCTTCGAAGGTAGCATGCAAAATATCACGCACGACTTGCCAGGGGACAAACAGGCCGTTCACCTGGATTGGATGCAAAGTCGAGACAGCAATCAGTGCCCCCAGAGCCCGCATCCGCGGAGTTAACACGGAGCAAGGGATGAAACCATGTGCTGTGGATGCCTTGCCTCGGTGGCTACCCAAAGCTGTCACCTCACAAGGTGACCCAACCACAGGAACTGGGCACTGGGCAGAGAAGAGCAGGCCAAGCCTTCGATGTCCAGTGGGCAGACAGTGTTTCCGGCAAGGACCCTAACAGAGGCCCTCCGAGGACACTGGGCAGCACTGATGGTTAGGGAGATGCATCATGGGAGATTCTAGGTGTGTAACGCCTGTGAAGTCAGAGGGCTGGGAAGGCCCAACTCTCACACAGTGCATCTGCGCAGGGCCACTCTGGAGCTCGTGTTACAGGTTATCCGCTAGCGATGCACTGGAAGGCAGAGCTAAGGGGATGAAGCTGCTTGATGACAGATTTCTTACAACGCTAAGAAACAGGGCACAGGGTCCCCTAGCACGGAGTCGTGCCGGCCCTTCCTGGCTCCCCTAGCTGTGTCAAAGGTAGGGACAGCCCTCCCATCAGAGCTGTGATGCAAAAGCCATTGTAGGCCGGCGCCGTGTCTCAATAGGCTAATCCTCCACCTTGCGGCGCCGGCACACTGGGTTCTAGTCCCGGTCGGGGTGCCGGATTCTGTCCCGGTTGCCCCTCTTCCAGGCCAGCTCTCTGCTGTGGCCCAGGAGTGCAGTGGAGGATGGCCTAAGTCCTTGGGCCCTGCACCCGCATGGGAGACCAGGAAAAGCACCTGGCTCCTGGCTTCGGATCAGCGCGATGCGCTGGCCGCAGCGCACCGGCCGCGGCGGCCATTGGAGGGTGAACCAACGGCAAAAGGAAGACCTTTCTCTTTGTCTCTCTCTCTCTCACTGTCCACTCTGTACCTTCCGGAGAGGAGAGGTTGGATGGGAACTTAGGAGAGGACTGAGGAGTGAGGGGTTATAATGGGACAAATGTTCCAGAAAGGGACCCGGTGAGCCTGCAGGCCAAGTGCCCAGTGGGTTTCTCTGGCTGATACGGTTGAGAACAAGGGCACACAGTCCTGATCTAGGGTACCACTGTCTGTTAGCAGGGCTCACTCTGCTCTCAGCTTGCTGGGCCATTTGTCCAACCTGGCAGCTCCCCCAGCCCTGCTGCACGGCGAGACCAGGGCAGCAGTGAGGAGCCTGGAGGAACATGATGGTGACATGGGGGCAGTGATGTCAGAGGCTACAGGGACTCGGGGTCACAGCTAGGGGGGTGAACAACAGAAACCTGGTGAGCCGGACCGTGGCCACAGCCGCTGGTGCACCTGGGCCCAGCGGCCACCACCTGTGGCGGCTGGGAGGCAGGCAGGGCGGGGCCAGCAGGCGGTACCTTGGTGTTGAGGATGTTGCTGGCTATGCGGCACAGCATGATGAGCCGGTCTTCGTGCGTGGACCAGGTGACGCGCAGCTGGGTCATCCTCTGCAGGGCGCTCTGGTCCGCTTCGTCGTGGTAGCGCAGCCGCTTGCTCTTTTCCTCTGGGGGCTCTTCTAGAAACAGCAGGGGAGAGAGCAGGGAGCTTCCAGCATCAGTGCGCAGCTGTCACTCCCGACCCCGCTTGGGGCTGGACAAGGCACCGGCCCCAGAGCCTCCTGCGGGCCCCCTGACTGTTCTGTTTTGGCGTTCACCCCAACTCAGCATTTCTCTTTGCTGAGACTTCAGGGGACAGGTTGGCCAGTGCAATGCAGCCTCGAGGGAGCTGCCCACCAGTCTCCAGCCTCTCCCATGGTGACAGGGACCCTCTGAAGGCGGCCTACGCAGAGGTTGACAGAGCATGCCTAGCGCCTGTTTGCACATAAGCATCACCTCGGGCTGGTGTCACTGCATAGGAGGCCCTCCCTTGTTGTGACCTCAGGGCGCTGGCTGTGGAACATGTGTGAGCACTGTGGGGACAATGAGGCCTACGCTCCAGGCTGCAGCACCCAGCACAAGGCAGCTACGAAGGAAATGACAGCAGGTGCCTGCATTATGTTGCTAGCAGTGCTTGGCTGACACGTGTGTTAACTCGCAAGTGGAATGGTACTTTGCACAACTCTGTGTGATGGATACAACCATGGGCATTATAGGAGAGCAACCCAATTCACAGTCTGAGGCACGGAGCCCAGTCAATGGCAGACATAGGATGGGAGCCTGGAACCCTTAGCCATGGCTTCCCAGGCTCCCCTGCACTAACAGTCCGTTCACAGGCCACACACCGTATGCCACCACCAATTCCAAAAGACCACTTGTTTGCCAAGCGTCTTCCCAATGAAGGCTGAAGAGCAGTGGGCAAGGAGACCTGGATACAGAGGGACGCCTCAGCCGAACTTGGCCTTGAGGGGCACTCGGGTCTCTGTGAGTCACGCTGGCCTTGCACAGAGGCCTTGCCTCTGCAGGAGGCTAAGCTGAGGAGCCACTTGAGCTGATGGGACACAATCTGTTACAAACACCAGCCCAATAAACCTGGAGAGCAGGTTCCTGGGTAAACATTCTGTTCTTACGGAAATAGCCGAAACCATCAAATTGTCGTTGGAACACAGGGACAGGCCCCTTGGGTGATACACAAGTGATCTAAACAGCAGACAGTGGTCCCCTCACCATCCCTTCTGCTACACACACTGCCAGAAAGGCACCCTGGGGGTGGAGGTGTGATGCAGAGGTTAGGATGCTGCTCGGGACACTCGCATCCCACAGGACTGTCTGGTTCCTGTCCCAGCTAGTCCAGGGCCAATCCAGCTCCCTGCTAACGCACACCCTGGGAGGCAGCATTGATGACTCAAGGCCTGGACTGAGTTTCTGGCTCTTGGCTTCTGCTGGGTCCAGCCCTGGATGTGGTGGGCATTTGGGGGAGTGAGTTATTAGCAGAGGGGAAATTCCTTCCTCTTACATTCTCAAGTTAGAAAGAAAGGGGTGGTGGTGGTGATAGGACATGAGGGGTTCCATGAGCTCTGGGGACATTCTGCAGGCTTCAGTGATTCCCCACTTTCCCTCAACTTGAAAATACAACATGACTTTGAACTTTGGCCCATTTGACAAAAATGCTGATATTAAAAGGTGAACCAGGGACAGCACTCGCTATGGTGGCTAAGAAGCTGCGTGGGACGCCTGTATTCCATACTGGAGTCCTGGCTCAAGTACCTGGGTCCCTGCCACCATGTGGGAAACCAGGATTGAGTTCCTGGCTCCTGGATTCAGTCTCTGGCTTGGCTCAGCTTAGCTCCTGCAGGCATGAGTAGTGAACTGGTGGAAGGGAGACCTCTCTCTCTGTCTTTCTCTCTGCCTTTCAAATAAGTCAAATAAAAAAAAAGAAATTTTCTTTACGGCCGGCGCCGCGGCTCACTAGGCTAATCCTCCGCCTAGCGGCGCCAGCACACCGGGTTCTAGTCCCGGTCGGGGCGCCGGATTCTGTCCCGGTTGCCCCTCTTCCAGGCCAGCCCTCTGCTGTGGCCAGGGAGTGCAGTGGAGGATGGCCCAGGTGCTTGGGCCCTGCACCCCATGGGAGACCAGGAAAAGTACCTGGCTCCTGGCTCCTGGCTCCTGCCATCGGATCAGTGCAGTGCGCCGGCCGCAGCACGCCAGCCGCGGCGGCCATTGGAGGGTGAACCAACGGCAAAAGGAAGACCTTTCTCTCTGTCTCTCTCTCTCACTGTCCACTCTGTCAAAAAAAAAAAAAAAAATTTTTCTTTAAAAAGGTAAACCAAAAGAGTCACAGAATTCTGGTTACTTAGGATGAAGATTTTGCTAAGGTTTTTTTTCAGCTGTGATAAAGTTAGAAATGTGAACTGAGGGACTTTCTAAAGACTGCACAAAATACAGACAGAGAGAGCTGGGGAAGCGCACGGGAAAACCGAGCCTCTCCCAGCCGGCCAGATGGATGTGGACAATGAAACGACCACGGCTTGGAGGGAGCGCTACCCGCGGAGGGGACGTGGAGCCTGCTGTCTGCCGACAGAACTCAGGCCCAGCTGGGGCAGGCGGTGGCACAGACGCACAGGCCGGGGCCAGGAGGAGCCAGCAGCGCCCATACAACCTTTGTTGCTTTTCTTGGTCTTGCCCGGGTCCGTCTTCAGCCGTTTCCGCTTCTGGCTCTTGCCACCCCTCACGCGCCAGTTCCTGTCCAGCGTTTCCCAGGCCACCTCGCACTGCTCGTCGTGGGCGGCGGAGAGCTTCGCACCTTTCCTCGCTTCTCCCCAGGGACCCAGCTTGCCGCTGCCTGGAAGGGGTCATGGGGTGTGGGTGGCAGTGAACGCCGGGTGGGCGTGTGGGGGTGGGGTGGGGATTTGCTTCCGGGGGCAGCTGCGGCACACTCACCTGTAGCCCTGGGCGGCAACAGGCGCTTGGTCAGGAACGTCTGCAGCCTCACGGTGAGCCCACTCTCCGAGGCGCTGTTTTCCTACACGACAAGTGCGGCACTGGAATGAGCCCTGAACTTGCAGGAGTCCCCAGGCGCCCAGAACGGCCAAGGCACTACGCCGTCAGTCTCGGCGAGCCCGGGCTGCTGGGTGGAGGCTGCCAGGAGTGGGCCCCTGTGCGGCCCCTTCAGCACTGCACGTGCGTTCCTCTGTGTGGCACCCGGACTTTCATTCCTTCTCTAGAGTGTTTGTCCAGATCAGAGGACAAGTTACAAAGTGGGTGTTGCAGGCGGGCAGGGAAAAAAGGCCAGGGCTGGGCATTTGACCTAACAGCTGAGACACCCCCATTCCAGACAGGAGCCCTGGGTTCAACCAGCAGCCTCTGGCTGATCCTAGCTCCTGTTAGGGCAGACCCTGGGGAGCAACGGTGACGGCTCAAATCTTTGAGTACCTGCCATCACATGTGAGACCTGCCCTGATTTCTATGCCACTGCTGCTGGCCTGGCCCAGCCCTAGCTGTCACAGGCAGTGAGGCAGGGGACTACTGATTGATAGGAGTTCTTTCTGCCTGCCTGCCTTTTTCTATCTTTTCTTTCTCTGCTTTTCAAATCAATCTATAAAAACAATAGGCCAGCCAGATACTCGTGGGGCCTGACACATCTTCAGGACAGATGAAGTAGGTTTTTATGTAATTTATCACTTTACGAATCCTGAGAGGGAGAGCTGGGAGGGGACGGGCGGAGGATGACTGGTGATGGGGGCTTCGAGGCGGTAGGCCCGAGCGCCCACCTTTTTGGCTTTGTTGATGATGTAGCTGGTCCAGATCCAGTTGCGCTTGAGGTGAGCGTAGAAGCTGGAATCGAGGCCAGCGGCTCCCAGCCCGTCTCCAGGGATCACGCCTTTATCCACGACCACGCGGCTCCCCCTGAGAGGCGGGAAGCAAGCCGAGAAAGGGTCCCCCTTGGTAACGGGCAAGAGCACCATGGCCTGGGGTGGGGGCTTCCACCTTCCTAGGACAACACCTGACAGAGAGCAACCTGCACTCCTAGCGTTGGCTGCGAGGTACTCTGGCAAGTTAAGCAAAAACAAACAAAATCCAATTTTTATGTCAAACTCCCAACTTTGGAATCTTGAGAACGGACTGAATTCTTTTAAAAGAAGGTGAGCTCAATAGAAGCACGCCTGTGGCCAGCTCCAGCCCACAGCCACCCACGTGGCCTGCCCTCAGCGCATGCGCACAGGGAGATGGGACGCACGTGCTGTACTCCATCAAGGCACACTTGCGCTCCAGGTTGTGCTTGTCCACGGCGTTCTCCTGCTCCTTCCGCAAGGTGCCCTCCTCGTCACTGCCCTGATCCGAGCCGCTGGTCTTCGGCGCGCGTGGGTAGCGCACCACACCTGGAAAAGCAAGCGCGACACCGTGTGCTCATGCCTCCCTGCCGCGGTGCAGGCTGGGAGCAGAGAGCTGTTTTCTGGCCTGTGAAAAGGCTCCCGACCCAGCGGGGGTGGCTGGAACTGCCGGAAGCTCTTTGTGCACGATGGAATCAGGCAGGTTAAAAAGCAGGAGCATGCCCAAGAGGAGGGTCTCGCCCTGGCTGAGTCTGTCCAGGACAGAGGTAGGCAGGAACCAGAAACGCCGAAAGGCTTGGGGAGCTCAGGGCAGAGGAAACTGGGCCTCCTCTCGGGGGGACGGGGTGCCCTGTGGGATTGCTGTGGGCCGACACGGCAGAAGTGGAAAGCAGAAAGGACTGCACCGGGGGCAGGGGTAGGGGCAGGGGCAGGGGCCATGGCTGGGCGAGCTCAGGGCACACAGACGTTCCCAGAGTGCTCAGAGGTGCACTAGTGTAGCCGACAAACTACGCTCAGCCATTCTACGAGAAAGGGAACAACTCCTGCAAGGAAACACAAAATGATGGAAACCACTGCTGGAGTGCGTGAGGGCAGGTTCCGGGAGCGTGCAGACGGCCAGACTCGCTCGCCACAGGCTTTGTGGCGTGGCTGGTGGGGGCGGGGACAGCATGAAGCTCTTGCCCTGCACCTCTCGGCTGCAACCTCCGTAGACACCTTGTGCAAGCTTTCCTGAGCCTGCCTGTGGGTGATGGTGCTCTCAGTTTAGAAGCCAGGAAATGGGGCAGAGCTGTGGCCCAGAAGATTAAGTGACTGGTTGTAATACCAGCATCCCATGGACGCACAGGTGTGGGTCCTGGCTACCCTGCTTCTGATCCAGCTTCCTGCTAAAGCACCTGGGAAGGCAGCAGAAGATGGCCCAGGTACTTGGGTCCCTACTGCCTGACGTGGGAGACCTGGATGGAGTTCCTGGCTTCATCTTGGCCCAAACCTGGCCATTGTAGCTATTTGGGGAGTGAATCAGTAGATGGAAGATGTCGTCTCCGTCTCTCTCTCTCTCTCTGAAACACTGACTTTCAAAATAAGTAAAATAAATCTTACAGAAAACAAAGAAAGGGAAGACACTAAGACTCCATGAATGGCCCGCCCAGGGTCACTCATCCAAATGGACACGTGACACAGTGCTTCTCACACCCAAAGCACAGGGGGTGGCCATTTCTCCTGCTCTCTCGGCAGGGGCCTGCCCCCAGCACTGGAACACAGCACTCTGGGGACTCAAGCAGGCTCGAGACTGGGCAGCGGCTGCTCCATGACATGATCCCGACTTGAAAGTTTCCCATGGACCTCGGGGCAGAGTCTCTGCAGACGCCTGCCGAGTGCCAGGACAATCAGGGCCTGATTAACAGACTCAGCCCGCTTGCAAACGCTCCGAGGGCTACAAATCCAATCCACTAAGCCTGGAGCCTGCAATGACATGCTGGCTCGCACGGGAAAAACTGGGGCACTTTAACGATCTAATAACGGTAAAAGCCCAGCTTGCTACCAGATGCCCGAAGATTCTCCAGAGCACGTCACTGTAAAATGTGTCTGCATGTTGAGGGCTCTAAATGCAAGCGCTCACCACCTGCTGGCAGTGAACCACTCTAGCAAATGCACCTGGGCCTCCCGCTTTGCCACAATCATGGGGGACACCGAACTGCTAGCCCTGGGATGGGAGGAACTGAAGCCGACTCTGCTCCCCGCTCAAGCAGGATGTGGCTCCCTTCTCTCCCGGTGCAGGGGGCAAGAACTGACCAGAGAACAGCTTCAAGTCAAGGGCCGTGGGGTGGAGGGAGGTGACAGCTGTCACTTCCCCCAAATCTCTGCCTCTGTCCAAGCAGTTCTGGGATGGGGACTGTGGACCAGGCACCTTTTGACACTCAGGGGAAAGGAACTCCCAGAACGAACTGAGACGGGGCCAGGGGACAGAGGCTGGGCAGGCGCTCTCCCAGAGGTGTCGCCTGGAGCAGGGGTGGCCGGCTGTGCAGGGAGAAGAAAGTGGCAGGAGCACAGGCCTGCGGCTGCACTGCCCCTGCTCCCCAACACTTCCAGGCCCACCCCTGCCCCCTCGATGTCACAGCAGCCAGGGTGAGCCATCTTGCCACTTCCCGCTCAAAGCCACATCACAGCTTCTCGAAGAAGTCCCTCAAGTCTGCAGGTGGGGGGAGGGGACTTTTCTGTCTTTCAAATAAATAAGCAAAATTAAAAAAAAAAAAAGAGGGAGAATGCTGAGCTGAAGACAGTACCTAGCGGGGTATTGAGGCAGACGCACTGCAGGTCAAACCAGTAGTTCTCCACGTCCTGCATGGAGTTCATGACGTAGTGACGGCGCTCGAAGGGCCGGCTGCTGTGTGCCAGGTTGTAATGGGGGTCGCAGATGGTCGTGTCCACGATGACCGCGTTCTTCTTCAAGAAAACAAAGACCTAAGGAGACACAGACAGGGGCGCGGAGCGGCTCCGGGTCAGCACTGGGCCTCACCACTTCACCGGGGAGTGTCTTCATCGGGGACGGAGGCCCTTACCTGATCTTTATCCTGAAACTTCTCCGTGGGCCCAAACTGCAGCAGCCCCATGTAGCACAGCCTCTGAAGACTCTCCACCACCGAGAAAATGTAGCGCCTGGGAGACAGGGGCGGGCGTCCTGGCTCTCCTCCCCGGGGCTCCCCAGAGGCCCAGGCCCACCCCTCCAGGCACCCAAGGCCACGGGGTGTCAGTCCCCCATTTGGTATTTGATTTGGCAAAGTTAACACAGCAAAGGGAGCAACTAAGACTCCAGGGCTTGCGGTGCTTAGTGGAGATTTCACCGTAATTCATAAACAGCCCCAGCAGTTCCGGGCTGAGGGGCTAAGCTGTGGCCCCTCCCTGGTGGAGGAGTCCACAGCGCTGACTCGCAGGGGCTCGCGGGGACCCACTGTAGCTAGATCCAGTGCAGCGCCCTCACCTCTTGTACAGGAGCTGCTGCCGGAGGGCCCTGGGGAGGAAGCGGATCAGCATGTGCTTCTTCAGGGGGTCGTTCAGGTACTCCTCAAGCATGTCCACCTGCACGGGGGATTTTCGGGCTGGGTCAGCCTGGAGGCCAGCCTTGAACCTGCCTGTCAGCCCTCTCCCGAGCCCCGCCTCCCACGTGCCATGCTGTTCGGGCACCTGTGGGCACAGACTGCTAAAACACTTCCGGGGGCAAGCAGGGGATGCACCTGGCTAATTCAACTCGAGAGGAAGAACACACATTCCCTTTGAAGCCAGGGAGCTTACTTCCATCCTTATCCACAGAACATCTTGGAGCTGCCCCCACGTGTGTGCCACCGCAAGGTGCTCATCAACATGTCATTTACAATAACCAGGAATCGGAATTGAAATGACTCAGATTCGAAAATACCATTGATGAAGTAAGTCAGAGTACATGCAGAAAGAAGGAATACTATGAATCCACTTCCTATCAGGATGAGGAATTTAACGACGTGGAAAATGTGATGTATTTCTCAGTGGAAAGAACAGGTCGTAACAGAGTAAATGGCGGTGGGTATTTAATGCGGCAGTTAAGCTGCCGCAGTGCTGGGGACGCCTGCCCGGTTTGAGCCCCGGGTCTTCCACTCCCGATCCCAGCTTCCTGCTAACGTGCACCCTGGGAGGCAGGTGATGGCTCACGTGCTTGGGTCCCTCCCTGCTGCCCAGGTGGGAGACTCAGACTGAGTCCTGGGCTCCTGGCTTTGGCCTGGCCCTGCCCTGGCTGTTGTGGGTATTTGGGGAAGTGAACAGAGGACAGAGGATCTCTCTTCTCCCTCTCTAACTTTCAAATACAATGAAGATAAAGGTTACAAAGAGCAAACAAAATCTCAACTCAGTTGAGAGAAAAGGGAGATCACACAGCCAGACACACGAAGCACACACAAACATGGCACAGTAAACAAGGACCAGAAGAAAAGGTACCGAAACCATTAGCAGTGATCATCTCTGAGTGGTGAGGCTATCGGTCATTTCTATTTCTTCCCTTTTCTATATTTCTAAAAACAACACACTTTATTGCCACACTGTAGATTATTTTTCTGTTGACCTCCCTACCTATTGATGAACAGACGTAGAATAATGATTTCTATGCAATTCCCCCTGATCTTCCACCCAATCGCCTGATAGAGTCTACTTAAAAGAACACATCCTCGATGTAGTTCCTCTCGATGGACCACCTGTCCATCCATTTATCCATCCGCCCATCTGCCCAGGCAACTCTCGGCCAGGTGAGTGCGGGTCCCCAGCCTGCAGCCGAGGGGCCAGCCCCAGGCTCTGCAGCGGCCCAAGTCGCCAGTACCTTGTAGCTGACTTGCACGATCTGGATGAAGATGGAGAGGGGCAGACAGAGGAGGATGTCGCTGACGAGAGCCCAGCCAAAGCCGAAGTCCCTGTGCACCGGGATAGGAGGGACGTAGCGCATCCATGAAACTTCGTTCACGTACACTAGGAATGAAACCCGAGTCACTCCTGGGCAGCCAAGATCCAGCCATCATGGCGACGGCGCCTAGCAGTGACTCCCTCACTGCCAGCTCAGACAAAGCCCTGCTAGTCCAGGAGGAAGCACGAGGAGATGGGAAGCCCAGGGGCTCTGGAAGACTGGATGGTGTCTTCATTTGGATCAGGGGACTCTGAGGGGATGCCGCCAGTTCAGGGCAAAGGGTAAGGAACCTTGCGGGCAGGCATTTGGCCTGGTGGTGAAGACGCTGCTTAGACCCACATCTGAGTGGCTCCTGGGTCTAGCTTCCAGCTAACGTAGGCTATGGGGTGCAGCGGTGATGACTGAAGCGCGTAGGTCCCTGTCACCGACACGGCACACCGGGATGGAATTCCCAGCTCCCAGCTTTGGCCTCATCTAGGCTCCCCACCCCCCCACCCCCCACCAGCTGCTGTGGGTATTTAGGGAGTAGATCAGCAGATGGGAGTTCTGTCTCTCAAGTAAATGAATGAAAACCATTTTTCAACAGGATAAGGAATGCTAGCCATGTCTCGCCCTGGACCCCACTGCGGGCGTGGCGGAGGCACCCACCGGTCTCTGTGTCGAGTTCCACTTCGGCCTCCCAGGTGACGGTCTCCCTGCCCTCCGAGGAGGCCTCCGTGTGCCTTGCGGAGGCAGCCTGGGCCCTCATCCTACTCGACTCCTGCCGTCGCGACCTCCTCTCGCCGCCGGGCTTGTGCGCCGTCTTGTTGGCAGGGTGCCCGTAGATCAGGTACCACAGGAACATGTGCACCACACGCAGGCGAGGCATCTTGGGCAGAAACCCCAGAGAGCGGCCGAGTCCTGGAACTGGGAGAGAGAGGCAGGGCTCTCATCTCTGAGAGCTTCGTCTCTCGTGCGCTAGGACAGGAGGAGGGCTGTCATTCTAGAGAGAGGCCTGGGAGAGGCCTCCGAGGTGGTGACAGAGTGGGCCACAGAGAAACCTGCAGACACGCACCCAGGACAAACCAAGGGGCCTGAGATGAGCGTGTGTCTGAAACGGGTGAGGAAGGGCCCCGAGGCCATAGGGATGGGGTGCAGCAGGAAGGAGTGCGTGGGAGGCCAGAGCACGGCGAAGGGGCCCACCAGCTCAGCACACCTGGCTTCAAACGGACCGCATCCAACATGCTCAGCCCTCGGATTTTCTAACGGAGCATGTCTCTCTGTGGACACAGACAACTGTCCCCTGCCCTTCCCCAGGCAGAGAGGGAAGGAGTGAGCCCAGGCAGGGACAAGGCCCAGCCCACGGAGGAACACGCTCACTGCCCCTGGTGTGCTCAGGTGCACGTGGTCTTTGGCCGCACGGTAGTGTGCTTGGGTTTCTCTAGCAGAAGCCATGCTGTGCGACCAGCACCTTGAGAAAGGGAAGTCTTGCAAACCTGCTCTTCCGCTTGGCCTCCCTCGTCTCTGCTTCCCACACTGGACACTGGCTGGGCGGAGCCTGGCACCCTGCTCAGGTTGGGAGAGGAGCCGAGCTCCCCGCCTACCATGCCCTGAGCACCTGCACTTGCTCAGCGTGGGTTTACAGCACAGCCGCCATGCCCCACCAGGACGCCAGGGGGCAGACGACATTGTCACCTCAGACCTGACTCTGGAAAAGCGATGTGAACACTCAAGGGCAGACGGCAACTCTCAAGGGCTTGCAGGACGGTCCAGCCCAAGAATGCTTGCCCAAAGGAACTGATATTTGTACTTCCTCACGCTGGGATCTGACATCACTTCAGCTGCATCTCTGCAGGCTGTGAGAGGGAGAATTCTCCCCATTTTGTGGAGGGAAAGGGAGACGGGCAGAAGCCACAGGACTGGCCCAGCATGCCTCAGCCAGTGACCGCGGCCCAGGTGGGGAGCACAGGTGACACGCACATCATCCTGCCCAGGAAGGGGCTGTTACCGATCACGGGGTTGTAGTTCTTCAGCTGGGTGATGCCCATCTTTTCGTCTGTCTTTTTCACGCGTGCGCTCTCTACTTTATTGGAGGTGTTCGGCTGGGAGTCTCCCGATGCACTGGGGGCCTCTGCCACTGGAGTTTCTTCTTCCACTTCCTCTTGGGGTGGCGGGGGTGGGGGGACTTTGGCCCTGTGGTGCAGACACAAGATGCTGTGACTGACAGATGGACGGACAGACAGACAGACGTGCAGCCCTCCACCCGCAGGGGCCACCTTGGGTTTACTCCTAGCAGGAAATTTCCCCCAGTGCTGATTCACCTGGCGGCCACCAGTCAGTCTAGGAAGGAAACCACGGAACACCCTTGCAAGGCAACCACACTTGCTGGGAGCCCTTCTGAAACCGAGTGTTCCAGACACTGGAAGGCCCGATGGAGCAGAAGCAGCAGGGAGTTGGCTCCTCACTGAATTCAGACACCGACCCCTGCTTAGACTCGGGATTTGTGAACCACAGACCTAACCCACTGAACCCAGGCTCGCATGCAAGGGTAAACACCGGGGTTTTGTGAAGGGGGCAATGGGCTGGGACTCACGGGCCTGGCGGCCTTGCTGAGCGGTCCTTCCTGTCTGCCACTTGCCTATTGGCTGTGCTTGAGTTGGAGATCCGGAAGCGAACCTGCTCAATGGCACTTCTTACCAGAGGGTCGTTCTGGTCCATGGAGGGGTGCACAACCAGATCCACCTGCAGAGAGAGGTTGGGCTGCCACAGAGGGTCCTCGGGGGACCCTCGGTTCTATCCGATGTCACTGGCATTTCCAAAAGCAATGAGGAGACGCCAGCAAAATCTGTCACTCAACGCTCTATCGTTATAGCAACCGGCACCAAAACCCCTCAAGTGACCAGCGATCAAGTCCTGGACGAGAGCCATGGCCCTGTGGGCCCTCGCCAGGCTGTCACAGCCCACTGCTCCCTGCCACTTCCTGACAGGCGGCTCCCCATGGCCCACCCCTTGAGAGCTGAGACTTTCCCAGTGCTGCTCGGGAGTCCTGAGGGCTTCCATCTGGAAAAGGTAAGCGGCTTTCATTAATCTGGCCTGGCTGAGAAGGCCACGGTGGGACCTGTGCCCGGTGCATTCCCAGACAAACTGGGGGAGGATTTAGAGCTGCTTTCGTTGTTTTACGTTTTTGGAGGTACTGAAGCTGAACGGCTGAGGTGGTTCTCATTTTAGGAGAGCTACATGGCTGCAAAATGGAAACCGTGGGGAAGGGCAACACTTGGAACACCAGTAGGAGAGGTGGAGCTGAGCGGAGTGGGGGGCGTGTGTCGGCAGTGTCGTGGCCTGGGCACCCAGAAAACCAGGTTCCTCTCTTGGTCACTGTTCTGCCCAGAGTGTTAGCTCTGGCTAGCGGCTTCATGCCAAAAATGGGCTCAGATAGGTTGGGGACAAGGAACAGGAAGCAATACCTAGAGGAGGAGTCTTAAGGGCCATGACTGGCTTAGCCTCTCCCACTCCTCATTTGTGAAACAGGGACACCTCTCTCCCAGCTGCCAACTCCCTTGTGGTTTTGTGAGACTTGTACAAAGACAGGAGGCATCTCCAAGATTTAAAAGCACAGTAGAGGGCTGGTGCTGCGGCGTAGCAGGTAAAGCTGCTGCCTGTGACACTGGCATCTCACATGGGTGCCTGTTTGATTCTCAGCTGCTCCACTTCCAATCCAGCTCCCTGTTAATGCACCTGGGAAAGCAGTGGAAGACGGCCAGAGTGCTTGGGCCCCTGCGTCCACATAGGAAACCCGGATGAAGCATCTGGGTCCTGGCTTCGACTTAGCTCAGCCCTGGCCATTGCAGCCATTTGGGGAGTGAACCAACAGATGGAAGACCTCTCTCCATGCCACTCTCCACCCCATCTCTCCCTTTCACTACCTCTGCCTTTCTAACAAATAAATCCTTTTAAAAAAATCTACAACACAAATCCACAGTGTTCCTGTTTCTACTTTCCATGACTGAATGGCCCAGCTACTTCCCAACGGCCCAACAGCCAGGGCTGGATGGGGGCAGAGGCAGAGGCTGGTGTGGGTGTGGTGACTCCAGCAGTGTGGCTGCAGCACGAGCTATGGGTATCACACAAAGGCTGGGTGAGAAACTGCAGCCCGCTCTGAGGGCACACATACATACCACAGCCCTTTCCAGGCTACTGGACTGGCGCCTCATGGCCCGGCGTCGGGGGAGGCGGAGCCACTACTGTGCACTTAGATTTTGGAGCTTATGGAATCCCCCGAGGTTCACCTGCTGCTCTCGGATCTCACCCTAGCCTCTCGCTGGCTCCCTCTGGCACAGCCTGGTGGACGTGGCGCCAGGCAGAGCTGGACACACAGCAGACGCCTGAGCCGGACTGCTGCTACCTACCCTGACCCGGGGGAGGTGTTCTGCCTTCTGGGACTGCTCTGTGAAGAGCAGCAGAACTCAGAGGTGCTGCTGCAGATGGGTGGGGGGCTTCCCCTGCCCTTCAGAGACAGAGAGAGAGAGAGAGAGGTCAGTCCGGAACCTAGCACCCCTGCTGGAGGGAGGCAAGGCAGGCTGCCTGGGGGGCACCACCGATATAAAACCGACGAGATCGTCATCTCGTCCCGCTCTGTACTGTTCAAACCCCCTCAAGACAAGCTCAAGCCCAAAGGCAGAATTGACCTTGCCGGCTTATTAAGGAGACAAAAGATCAAAGCAGAGCTTTCTTAAGGCAGAGATGGGAAAATGCCGCCAGGGAGAAAGGTCAGGCAATGGAAGGGGCCTGTCCCGCTGTGCTGTCGCAAATTGCTCTGACCCCGAAAAACCTGAGCCTGAGACGGCAGAGCTGCCGGGCTGCAGTTGCTATGGGAATGGCCCCAAACTTGAAACTGTACAGAAACAACCCAGCTGAGAAGAAGAGATGGCTCACTCCCCACTGGAAAACCCCAGCGGAGCGTGCCCACAGAGCCACTGCCACTGTTCCCTCTGGGGATACGTGGCCGCCCACCTCCGTGGAGAACGTTCGCACTGCTGAGTCTACAGTTCCCACCGCGCCGGGTTATTAAACATCTCCAGCAGCACTCTGCCCAACTTGAGCCGCTTGCCTTCCTGCGTCTCCTCCATGGCTGGCCGCGGGGCTGGACGCCTGGCTCAAGACCTGAGCTTGTTACTGCTCTTCTCTCTTTCCAGCGGATACACAAAGTGGGGATGGAGGGCCTGCCCCCCACATCAGGAGGCGAGGTGGGAAACGTCGAGTCCCTGATAACCAGGCTGGGATAGGCGAGCCCGGCGTGCTTCGGGCAGCGTGAGGCTGCACGTGGGCGCCGCGAGGGCCCTGCTCACCTTCTTCTTGATCCCATCGTGGATAACTGTGGTCCGGTAGAGCCGCAGGAGCCCCTCCTCGGAGAGGTTCCGCACCAGGCGGACGATGGACTTCTTACAGCACTTGGTGGACACGCCTTCCCGCTTCTCCTGATCCATGATCATCTTCTGAATCCTGGGGCACCACAAAATAAGCAGCTCATGCTCCCCGCCCCAACAGGGAATGGAGATGTGCCTAACAGAGCCAACGAGGCGAGGGGCGGGGCTGGCACAGGTCTCCCCCACCCAGGCAGATGGCGTAAATCCTCTCTCTCTGGGGTGAATGAGCTTCCACACACAGCTGCTCCACGTGAGAGAGAGGACTTGCGGTGGGAGGGCGATGGCAGGGAAAGCCAGCGCCGTGTGCAGAGCTGTCTTCACCAAGTGTGCGTGCCGGCTGGGCCTCCCGCTATGGAATGCTCCGGTGTACCACTGTCCCCTCTCATCTGCTCCCTCTCTGGCCACGCCCCCAGTTGCGCTCTCATTGTGTCCCTGCACTGGTATTCCTAGAACACTGGACACAGAGTGGCAGGGCCTCAAAGGACCTCACAGACCGAGGTGTCCCCGTCCCACCCTAGCTGGATCACGTAGCCCCCATGTCCTTGACTGGAGAGCGAAGCTCCTTCCCACTGAGTGGCTTGCAGGCATGGCCAGTGGGGACAGGGAGTGCCACAGACCAATGGACAAGAGGCCAGCCTCGACTGCAGCCCACACCGAAGCGCCACCTGTGCCTGCCTCGTGCTAGCTTCGGGAAAAGACTCCAAGCACAATTCTCCGCTATCTCACCTGCCCGCTTCTTCCCACAGCCCTCCCTTACCAGCAGTTTCCCAGGCACGGAGAAGGGCAAGCCCACTGCCCCTTGTCTCTGTTCCTGCTCCATCAGGGGCCCCTTGTCTGGTGTACGGTTGAGCCCTGCCGTCTACACTCTCCAAACAGCCACAACAAACTCCAGGTCCCTTCTGCCACGAAGGGAGACCAGGGGCACAGGAGGCACTCAAATGTCCTTTGGTCATTTCTGTGGCTGGTGCTGACCACCTGGCTGAGAGGTGTGGCCAGTGCAAGAGAGACAGGCAGGCAGGCAGGCGGGCGGGCGGACGGGCGAGAGCGAGCTTACGTGAACAAGCTCTCGATCAGGCGCAGGTTGGTGACGGCCTCTATGATCAGATTCCTGCGTTTCAGCAGCCGGTAGGTTTCATGCGGCTTGTCCTGGCCGGGGCCGTGCTTCCCGCCCTTCTGGGAACCGCTGCTCTCCTGGAACAGAGCAGAGCGCAAGGCACAGGGGTTCAGCAGCGCCCGGGGCCCGGACACCACTCCCACAGGCTCTTTCTCCCTTCAGGGAACTCCCACGCCCGGGTTTCACGCAGGAGGACCAAGGTGTCCATCTGGCCTCCTATCTGCATCACTGCAGGCTTGGAAGGAGCTGAGGCGTGGGTCAGCAAAGGACGTGGGCCACTCAGCTGAGTCCAGAACAGAACTCAGAGGCGTCTACTACAGCAACCCCAGGCAGTTGAAAGGACCTGCTCCATGTCCCCTGGTTCTTCCACATGACATCGGCAACAACTCTCTGCAACCTGAGGATGACGGCTCCCACTGTACAGACGTGGAAACCAGGGTGCGGGGAGGCTAAGGCGCTGTCTGCGGCCACACAGGCTGCGCATGTGTGCAAGCTCGGGGCTTCCGGCTGCAGAGGGGAGCCAGGGGAGCACAGGCGGTCTTTGGAAGCCAGAGACGTTTCTGGAAGTGATCAGAGTGACTGGTGACAGAGGAGAGGAGAAAAGCCGACCCGTGTCTCCTCATTCATCCCTGCCAGAAGGCCCACGCCATGCTCTGTGTGGCTCCTTCCTGCCTCCCCTTGAGCTTAAAATGCACTTGCTCCATCTGCCCTTGGATCAAAATATTGACAGCCCCAATGTGAGCCCCGAACAGGAGGGAAACGCAAACTCTAACATACTCCCTGCAGACCTCCCACACAGAGCAGGGCCATACGGCAGCCCTGGGCATGTTCCCCTCCACGCCTGCTCGCTGGAAGCAGCGTTTTCAGAAAATGTCAGCGCACCCGGGAAGGCTACTCCATCCGACATGGTGGCACGCACAGAGCCCAGCTCCCGTCCCTGCCAACACACTGCTTCTATGGGGGAAGGGCAGAGAGGCAGAATACCCCTTGTGCTCCCTTGCGTTTCAGAGCAGAACCTCTGAGGGAAAGCCACATGAGGGCAAGGGGAAACGTGCTCTGTCACCACTTGGCTGAGCAAGGGTGACAAAGTGGGACACAATGCTGCCAGGGACGCTAGCGATGGACTTCCGCTGGGCTAGGAAAGAGCAGCTGGATTTCTGAGCCCTGGAGGGAGCGGATGCTGGAGTCACAGGACCTGGTGATGGGGTACAAAGGACATGCTGATGGGGCCCATAGGCTAAGGAAGGCAGGTCAGAAGCTGGGAGACCATCCATCTAGAGATGAGACCAGTCAGACATGACAGAGTCACGGCAACCAAAGAAAGGGCTGAAAGGGTCTAGAAAAATCGACACCATGCCCCATTGCTTCTGTGACAGGGACCCACCGGCACAGGCCTTCATTCCAGGCAGGGACAAGTAGGATTAGGCTGGGGGTGCACACACACATTCTAACACTCACAATACCGCTCACCGAGCAGGCAGCCAACTACCTCCCCAGGGACCCTGCCTTCCTCCTCCCAGAGCGCACTGGTGTTTATCTCGAAGGCTTGTGAAGCCCAAGGGACACAGCAGTGACAGCTTCCAAAACCCACCCCTGCCCTGCCCCCATCATAAGTCCATTCTACACCGAGTGGCTCCAAAGTGCCGGAGGCCCCCCTGGCAGGATCCGGGGCCTGACAAGTGACAAGGGACAAGGCACTAAGTGAACCCAATCGTATGAAGACACTTCAAACAGTCAGTGGGAAATGGAGTTAAAAGATGGGTTTATTTTCATGCAAAAAAAAAAATCACAAAATCTATGCATAGTTTCTTGCTAAAGCACACTTTGCACCAACCTTTTGAAGAGGCCTGTGTCAGGAGGAGGGAGTTTCTCCATCAACTGCCTTTTCATCCTCCTGATAACACTGACAGAAAGCACTCAGCTGATCCTGCCGCGTCTCTGACGCCGGGACCCAGCGCAATGGCCAGACGTGCCGACGCGCGCTTGCTTTTTGGCAGTGTTGATTCCGATTCCCTTCTTTTTTATGGCCAATGGAACTGGCCTTTCATCTAAAGCGGGATTTCTCAGCCATGGCAGAGCTGACATTTTGGGCTAGAAAATTCTGGCGTGAGGCATTGTCCTGGGTCTGTGTGGGGCTGTTTATCAGCATCCAAGACTTGACCTGTGGATGCGGGTAGCATTCCCCTCCATAAGTGTGACTATCAGAAATGTCTCTGATTGCCAAATGTCCCTGGGGAACGAAATTCACCCAATAGCTGATCTAAATGAGCCTTACAAATGTTCCTTCTAAAAGGAACAGAAGGGAAGAGAGCGAGTTAGTGTAGCCAATGGAAACACCAGGTAACCACAGGGTAGGTGACTTTCACACAGGGCCCAGGCGGCGTGCACACAGGGAGGCGCCGGCCCACTGCCAGGAACACGTCTCACGTCAATCAGCTGTCCCCGCCGGGGACGCACGCCCTCCCTGTGAGCACTGACCTTGGGGTTTTCCAGCCGGACCTCCTCGATCAAGGCGATGTCGCCGGTGTCGTTCTCCATGTGGTGCGAGCCAAAGCTGGGCTCTGAGGAGCTGCTGGTGTCCAGGAGGTTGTCGGTGCCGGCGCGGCTACCGCACGCGGCACTCTCGGCAGCTCCCGCCGCAGCAGGTGGCTGCCGCTTGAGAGGGTTCAGGTTCACGACTTTCCACCCACCTGCGCGAGGGGAGGAGCAGAGAGGGTCAGAGGCAAGCGAGAGGCCACTCGGCTCGGCTTGGCAGCCCGAGCAGACCCACGCAGGCCAGGAGACCCATGGAAGGTCACGTTAAAGGCAGCCCTGCCTTGACCTGGACTCCAGATGCCAAATTTGTCCCTGGCCCCCACCCTCCACGTGTGCTTAAAAAAAAAAAAAAAAAAAAAATCTCTAACTGAGCTAAAACCCTGAGGGATTCTTTAAACTGTTGTTAGAGGGAAGCTTTGAAAAGTCAGCCCCTCTCATAATAAAACTACAGAATATTTGCCAAGGAGAGCTGCCTAGCAAGCCGCCAGGGTGGGCCACACAGCCATCTCAACCAAGCCTGTGCATCCCAGACTCAGACAGCACCAGAGGGACCCTCAGGGGCTGCTTCCTGAGAAAGCCCACAGCCCCTGCCCTGCCTGCCCAAGTGCCCCTACCCTTGGTGGGGGTGGAGTGATGAGGCTGGGCCCCCAGCCCCAGGCTGCCGGAGGCCCTGGCATCCCCCTGGGGCCCTCGGCCTTTCCGCTTGCTGCTGCCGCCCTCGTCCTCGCTGTCCGACTCCGAGAGGAAGGCGTCTTCGCCCTCGGGCGGGAGCGACTCCTCCTGCATGGAGGCCAGGCTCACGGTGGCCAGCAGCTGGCTGCGGGCCTTCTCCCGGGCATACTGGCGGCTCAGGTCACTCTCCTCGGCGAACACGCAGGAGATGTACTTGGTGGTCCGCTGGCGGCCTTCGTCTTCCATGAAGCCCTGGGGGGATGAGAAGTGCTGACCGCACTCTGAAGAGGGCCGGCGACCTGTTCCCCCCACAGTCTGGCTCTCACCAGCACCTTCCATCTCGCTGCCTGGGCCACCGGTCAGGCCCCATGCATGTGCCCCCATGGGCCTTCCTATCTCGTCATCCCTCAATGCCTGGTAGAGCACTCAGTCCCCAGAGAGCAGTCAGTGAGCAGTGAGTGCCTGGCATGCAGAACTCAATCATGTCCCCAGCAGCCAGGCGTCAGCGAGAGGACGCAGCTGCCTCCAGCTGACTGTCCCCCGCCATGCTGCGCCCACGTGGCCTGACTTTTCATGCTGACCATCCCCTTGGTTTTTATCAAGTGCAAACCACAGCGAGGGGCAGACAGAACCTGTGTGTGGCCTGCATGCAGCCTGTGTGCACTGTTTACTGGCTTGACGTACAGGGCAGCCGGTCTCGTCTCCTGCCGGTCTGAGCCTACCCTCTGCTCCCTTCATAATCACACAGTGCACACCCCGAGACAGGGTATTGGGGCTGTGTGTGTGTGTGTGTGTGTGTGTTACCTTGACGACCTTGAACCTCTGGAGGAGCCGACACAGCATTCTTGCTTCCAGCTTCCCCACGTTCATGGCCACGCGAATCTCGGCCTGGGAGATGCCTTTTGTGCCTCTGCGTTCGACTGTGGGAAACAACACGCATGAGTCCCGGCGTTGGCACAGGGCGGCTCCCACGGCCACTACACCGCGCGGAGGCCAGCACAGCCACTAAACCCTCCCCTTCCTTCTGCACCCAGGACGCGGAGGCCAGCAGCCTACTATGCCAGCAGGAGCACCAGCGGCCGATCTCTAAGGACTTGGCTGACTCCTCCATGGGAACGCACTTGACGGAGGGAGACTGAGCAATGGCCAGTGGATGACCCAGCCGCATCATCTGTGCCCAGGCCCCGCAGTGGGAAATGAGCTCTTTTGCACAAACGGACTTTTCCGGAGCAATGAAATCGGCCGCTGTATGAAGCGTCAAGGAAGGTGGTGTTTAATGAAGGGCCTTCTTTTTTTATTTATTTATTTATTTATTTTTATTTTTTGACAGGCAGAGTGGACAGAGAGAGACAGAGAGAAAGGTCTTCCTTTGCTGTTGGTTCACCCTCCAATGGCCGCCGCGGCCGGCGCGCTGCGGCCGGCGCGCTGCGGCCGGTGCACCGCGCTGATCCGATGGCAGGAGCCAGGTGCTTTTCCTGGTCTCCCATGGGGTGCAGGGCCCAAGCACTTGGGCCATCCTCCACTGCATTCCCTGGCCACAGCAGAGAGCTGGCCTGGAAGAGGGGCAACCGGGACAGAATCCGGTGCCCCGACCGGGACTAGAACCCGGTGTGCCGGCGCCACAAGGCGGAGGATTAGCCTAGTGAGCCGCGGCACCGGCCAATGAAGGGCCTTCTTAAATGGGCTCTGCTCTTTGCTCTCTGTGGTTTGTCACCTCCTGCCCTGTCGCCAGCAGTGGCTCTCGGCCTTGCCGGTTCGGGGTGTGCCTCTGAGGGCCCCTTTCGGTCCCTTCTCCCAAATGGGTCTGAGGACTATGGCACGGACTCACTGCTGTCCTGCAGAGATTTGAGGGGGTTCAGGAGAAGGGTGAGGAAGAGGAGACAGGTTTTTTTTTTTTGCCCTTCATCACCAGAATCCCCAGCCTGTGGTGACTCAGAACCAATCTTGGAAGGTGACAGGTGGCTGTGAAGTCTCTGCATAGTAACACCAGCAGCTCACCCCACGGAGTGCTTTCTACGCTGAAGGCCCTATCCTAGAGACTTAAATACCGTGCTGCTTATCTTTGGAATGTGCTCAAGTCAATTTCAGGCATCAAGTGACCGGGCGAAGAAACACCCAGCGTCTTGGTGCATCTACAGGACACTGGGCTGTGAATCGGAGGCCTGAGTGGCGGAAGATTTGCTCTCGCTGTGGATAGTGCCATCCAAGCAGCTGGGGCCCACAGGGAGCAAACCCAGAGGAAAGATGTAGCCTTTCTCTCTCTCCCCCCATTTTACAGATAAGTAAACTGAGGCTCAGAGATCTCACCAACGTCATTCAGCCAAGCAGCAGAGCACGGTTCCAACCTGAAGCAAAGGCCTGAACCCTCCAAGGGAAGCCCGGCATGTCTCGACACGTCACACTCGGAGCACAGCCCTCTGAGTGCATGGACAGGCACCTCGGCTCTCTGGCACGGAGCTGGCAGGCGGGCAGGACTCACTGAGCTCGTAGGTCTGCGTGAGCATGTCCCGCTCGTACACGATGTCCACCGGCGGCACCGCCTTGGAGATGACCTCCTCGTCCTCGTCATCGTCCTGGTCGTCGTCCATCTTCCGCTTGAACTCTTTCAGCAGCTTAAGGCAGCGGACCATGACGTCAGTCCCTAGGGACACAAGTTCCCCGGCCCTGAGTCAGGATGGGTCTGTGCAGGGCGAGGCGACGGGTGCTCACTTGTCACCACAGAGACTTGTGCAGACACAGATACACCCCCCAAACCCCCCGCCCAGGAAGGCCACCCACACTGTCACGGCCAGAGTGTTTCAAAATTGCACATTTGAGAGGATGAGACCTGAACCTTGACCGCACAAAACTGCTTTCCGTTTGTAATGGAATGCAGGAACCAAGAAAAGCAGAGGGGAAGGAGTTAGGTGCTGCGTTGGTTCTGCTAAGCACACAGCAACCCCTTCCCGCTGGAGACGGGTTCCACAGGGACAGGAAACTGTCAGTCCCTCCACAAGGTCTCTGCAGCAACCCGCACACAGCCCGCACGTGGGCAGTGTTTGCCGAGAGAACGAAAGCCACCTGCCTCGTCTTAGGCTGATACCTGCTGTCGGTAAGGCAGAGGACATGGGACCTGTACGCTTATAGGACGTTTCAAGGGGACTTCACAGCGATCCCAAGGTGGGAATGGAGTCTGAGAACTCAAGGGGACGCACAGGCCACCTTCAGCAGTGACGGGTCCGTTCTAGCACCTTGTAGCCTGAGCCCTGTTGAATAGCACAAAGAGAGCACCATGGGGGACGACCAGGCGTCACAGGGACCAGCACCCTGCTCTCTGGGACTAGTGCCTGCCTTCACAGCATTGCACTGTGACAGCAACGGCCCAGGCAGTTTCCCCACCAGCCTTAGTCAGCAGAGTGATGTGTACACACAGGGATGCTACACCAACCCAACCCCTCTTGACAAGCAGTAAAGTAGTTCAGGGTACTGAACGTCAAGGCCACCCTCGGAGACCTCTGGGAGGGCTGGCCCAGGGCACAGGGTTCACAGGAGAGTGGGGACGATGGCCTCGGGCAGCAGCTTGGCACGGATCCCTTCCCTGCTCACAAAGACAGGAAGTCTCCCGTGCCCCAATTTTTGGCGGAAGAAACACAAAGCCCAGGGAGACTTCGCTCCCACCACTCTTGCCTGGTCCTCCTGCTTTCCCTTCCCCAAGCTTTGCCCTTCGGCCCAAGCCCTGTCTCACCCTCTCCTGCCATTTCTCTCTCTGGGTGGGAGTCTCAAGCAACCAGGAGGGGAGCCATGGGGATGAAGGGGCTCTCGGGTACCTGGGATTGGGTCCCTGCCAGACTTCTGTGGGAGGCACCTCCAACAGCTTGTGGCCAGCACAGTCAGCAGGCACTGACCACAACCCACCAAGCCATGCCCCATTGGCTCTTCCTCTGGTCAAACCCCTCCCAACCCCTTGTCCCTACCATGGCACTCACAGGGGCGACCGACTGCTCCTGATAACAATACTCAGACCACTCGCCAGCGTGAACCAGGTCCTGGGCACTGCCCCAGCTCTCTATGACCCACGATGACCATCCCACAGCCCTAGGGAGGTGCTATCATGCCCATCGTCCATGGGGTGAACGTGAAGACACCTAGGAGCAGCGGATCTGCCAAACCCGCATCCCTGAGACGGTGAGGGGCTGGGGTTTACAGGGCTGTGTGGCTCTGCAGCCTCAGGTCTAAACCTTTGATGGGGCACACCCCGGTTCCAGGAGGGCGAGGGCACTAGGGACAGCCGAGTGGCTCAGGGGCCAGGGGCTCCAGCCTCTGCCTGAGCAGTGGTACAAGATGGCACTCACTAGGGAGGGGGCAGAGCTGAGAGGTGCAGCCCGCAGCCAGCATCATTCCTTCCTGGGGGGGCTGATGAGCCAGGAAAGGACACAGCCCCAAAGGAAACATGGAGGGAAGTGGAGCAGCGTGGCTGGCGGCTCCTGCTCTTCTCACGGTAAGGGAGCCAAGTTGTCCGCACCCTATGGCAGGCCCTGGCATCTGCCATCACTGCCATCCTGGAAGGGTGCCACAGCCTCCTCCACTGACAGCCAGGGTGGGCATCTCAGGAGATAGAGGGATAAACTGGGCTCTGGGGGCAGGCAGACGGGGTTCTCAGCCCAGCTCTGCAGCCTCCTGTTCCAGAGGCCCTGGGAGTCCCTGAGTGTAACACCCTTCGCTTTCCGGTCAGTAAATGGGCTGACAATGACAAATGTTAGGGGCTCAGAGAGATGTGGGCAGGGAGGAACCCAGCACCTGCTGTGGGCCAGGCACCATGCCAGCGCAGTACACAACTTAACCTCTCACAAGCCTGCGGCAGGCAGGACCCTGTGGGCTCCCTTTTACAGAAATGGAAGCTGAGGCCCAGAGTATTAAGAGGACGGCTCAAGGTGGCAGAACTAGGATTTAAGCCCAGGCTCTCTGCCTCCAGACAGGGTTCTCAGCCACTATGAGCTCACCACACCTAGCATGGTATCGGTCCCGTCTTACTGTAGACCAAGCCCCTTGCTGGACAGTATTCAGTGGCCTGGCTCCTGGACAGGAGTGGGACCTCACTCCTGCTCTGCTTCAAAGCACGGGGTTCAGGAAGACAAAGGTGGCTGAGGGTGACAGCTGAGAGCTGTGAGCTGTTGCCAGCCTTCCCCTCAGCCCAGGACTGACAAGGAGCATGCCACACAGAAGAGAGCTGCAGGTGGGCTGCTCACGCACATTCACACTGGGCCCAGTGAGGTGTGCTGATTCAGGGAGGCCTGGAGTGCTGCACCCACAGGGCAGCTGCTGAGCTTTTAAGGCCACACGCTGTGTGGCTCTGATGTGCTGCTGTTTCTGTTGGACAAGCAAGCCCTGTTTGACTTCTCAGGCTGTGTCTGTCTCGTCATGCTGACCACGGAGCTCTCTCCCAGGGCCTCGTCACTTGGCATCCATGGTAGTAGAGTACAGCTCATCACGGATCGGGGTGTGAGCCCTGCCTCTGTTGGGGAGCATGGGCTGGCTGGGGGACCTCCAGCAGCCTCCACCATCTTGCCTGCAAACTGGAGTTAGTGATGGCATCCAGCCTCGTGGGGCTGCAGGGGGCACCAGGCGAGACAAAGCAGGTAAAGGAAGAACAATGCCACCCACACGTCCTGAGTCCACAGGGCCATGCTCAGGGAGTTTCACAGCCCTCTCATCCTTCCCCACTGTCCAGAGTTGTACCAGCCTCGGGTTTTCCATTTTTATGGTGAACTATTCTCGTCTGGCTCATGGGCCTGTCACTCTGTCTGAGCTGCCCCGCCACTACTAGCAAGGCCCTGGGTGGAATTGGGGCCTGCCTGGTCCCCACACAAGGCAAGGCTGGAGGGGGCAGCCAGCCACCACGCATGCTCACAGATGCTTGGGGCTTTTGGCAAGACAAAGGCATGAAGATGCAGAGGGGGAGAGGGGATGCAGCAAATCCTTACCAAGCGCCCAGGAAGAACCAGGCATCATGCAAGGTGCTTTTAAAACCGATTTTACCTATCACACAAACTGTGCCATGACCGCCATTTTGGGAAAAAGACGAGGTTCTGAGGGGTCATGGGGTTGGGCTTGGGTTTTGCAGGTGAGGCCACCTGGCAAGGCTACCGTTTCAATTTCAGTTTCTCCAGAAAGCACCGCTCAGCATCCAGGGAAAGCCAGTGCGGCTGTGAAGGGGACCCAGCAGCCAGCACTTCTCACATCCCCAGTGAGCAAACGCATCGGGGTGCCTGGCCAAAGGGCGTGAGTAGCACGGGGAAGAACCAGGGCCAGATGAGAACAGAGGGACTCCAGGGTCGCAAGCAGAGGCAAGGTCTGACTGGTGAGCTAGGCAGATGCCCTGGAATGCAGATGGTCATCCCCTCTTCCCTGCCCTGACACACACACACACATACACACACACACACACACACACACACCTCGACCCAGGACTCGGCTGGTCGACGCTGGGAATCATTCTGACAGTCTGGGAAATGCCTACATGTACTCCAGGGACAATCTGGAAGAGGTGACTGCTTTAGGTGACTGCACAGAGACCTGACCAGAGGCCGGGAGCCCAGAACCGAGGGTGGCACTGGAATGATAATGGAGGAGGGCAACACCCAAGTTAAAAGCCTGGACTCCAGGGTCAGTGCGTTGTGTGCACCTGCCTCTACTAGTCTTTGCTGGCTGTATAACTGTGGCCAAGTAAAAGCAAGCAAGAAAGTGGAACTGCAGGATCTTATTTCCTGCATGCATAGAGCTTGGAAAGCACAAAGAGACAGGCCGGGGCCAGGCAGGGGAAGGGTGAGCAGGGAGCCAACGCCTGGGTGGGATATTAAAGGACATGTAAGATCGGGCTAATGAGACAGAAGCGGACAGGCATTCTGGGCAGGACGAACAGTCTGAGCAAAGGCTCAGAGGTGGAAACGGCCAGGCCTCTTGGGAAGTGGCTGGTGGGGCAGAGGGGAGGAGAGAGAAGAACGAGGAGAAAGGCAGACAGCGGGAGGTATGTGTGCCATGCAAAGGCCACTGTATGTTTATTTTGTAGGCTTGATGTTCAGGCCTGACTGGCAGCTGTCACTGTGGTGGACGAGGACAACAGGCTGGTGGGACGGAGGCTGAAGGGAGGCCCCATCTGCAGACTCTCAGGCCCCTGGGAGCTGTCCTGTCCTCAGCCTCGCTTAGACCCCAGGCACTCCCCTGCCTGACTCCCCCTTCCTCAAGAGTTCCGCCCAGCGTCCCAGGGAGGTAGCACAGGGTGTGGACAGCTGCTGGGCTCCAGACACACACCCCACCCTCTCTGCAACCTTAGGCTACTGAACTGTGCCTCTGCTTTCTGAGCAGTGAGAAGAAGAGAAAAGAATAACTGGCAGGCTGGGCTGGTAGAAGGATTAGGGTGAAACAGAGAACACGTAGTGCAGCGCCTGCTGCAGGGTCTTGATGGGCTTTCTATCCCTACTCCCTTGCCCGCCCGAGACAGAACACAGTAGAACAGAAGAATCTGCCATTATCTCATCTCGTCCCTTCCTCTTTTAAGCAATTATGTCCCATCGTCTTATATACAGGACACCTATACAGACTCCCAGTGGGCAACAAATGTACCACTTATGGTAACTTTGTGATTGCCCCTACAGTGAGCATGGC